TTAAAACATATACTACAAAAGTGCATACCGATCGAACTAATTGACCTGACGAGTTTCTACTGCTGCCGTTATTTATATAATAATTATGTACCTATCTTATCAAGTTTGCGATACGATATAGTTTAATCGTTTGCACGTGCCATGCTCGAACAAAATCAACTAGTATTTATTTTTGTGTTCACTTTTCAGTCCAAAATTTTCTTTTCAAACTCCATCCACGTAATTTGCTTTGCTAAAGAAATTCGAAAAGAGTTTTTGGGTGTGAACAAATGTATTTTTGCCGCGAAAGAGATATTCATGAAAGCACCAAAAGTACAGGGAACGATGGCCGACTTTACCACTTATACCAGAACCTGCCATTACATGATGGGGTACTTGGATCAAAAATGCTCCCTTTTACAGGGAACATTTCATTGAAATAAAAAGGATGATTAAACAACTTAAAAGTTCTGACACCTTATCAATTCGGAAGCATTTGCAACACCGTCAATACAACAGGGTTTAAATCTGATTTGTACATATTTTTCTAAAAATACAAGAGCTAATTACAAGTCTAGAAGCAAGAAATTTGCTACTGAACATTTCATTAAAAGTTATGGAGGAATTATCGACAACAGCATCTGAACTACCTGACGTATTTCCAGAAAAAAACAGAACCAAGATTACTCGATTGCAGTCTTGTTAAGAATACTTTTCAAATGTATTCAGAATACGTATTTAAATACTTGGTGTCAATTGTATTTAAAATACGTATTCGAATACTTCCTTTTAAAAGTATTTGAATATAAATACAAATACTTTTTAAAAGTATTCAAAATACTTCCACAAATACTTTATTTTTAGTAAATTATAAATTTTATATTAAAATATTTATGGAATTTATCAAAAAAATATTTAAAAAAAATAAAATAAATAATTATAATAATAAAACACACAATTATTCTAATAGTAGACAGTAATACAGTATATTGTATATTTTAATAGATATGAATTACATATTTGAATTGTATTTTAAAAAAATTGTTTTTTCAAATGTGTTGTCGTCCATCTTTCCTCGACGTTTTGTTAGTATGGCATTGCTAATACTAAATACGCGTTCAATGGGAGCACTGCTAGGCAATGGAGTATTATGACAAATAAAAACTTTTTTTATATTAGGATATTCATTAAGTGATGTCTGTTTTTTTGTTGGGCTTCTACTCAGATATTGAGTTACTTCATTTTCCACATAGATAGTTGATGTTCCTTGAAGTTTGTCATTAGACCATGAAAAAAAAGAAGAATCCTCAACTTCATCTTCACTATTTTCAACTAATTGTTTATGTGTTGAAGCCTCATTTTCTTTTGAATTAAAGACATTTAAAACTGTTTTTTTAAAATCCGAAATAGCCAAATCCTTTTTTACTTGGTTTTTTATCCAAACAGTTTTAAAATACGGATGTGAAATAGCTGCTGTTGTCAAAAATTGGTCACTTAATATTTTTTCAAATCGTTTCTCAATGCTTTTTATTATTACTGCTACCAATGGAGAACAGATTTTTAATTGATTTTTATTAAGTATTTGTTCATACTTGTAAATTAACTCTGTAATTGAAGGTATTAGAAAACCAAAAAACATATTTTTTTCACCTTGTAAAAGGTCTAAAACAATAGCTATTGGTTCCATCATTTGAGAATATTCTTCAAGGAATTCCATATCATTTTTATTAAATCGTACAATATTAATCTGGGAGTGAGTGGCTGACGGGGGTTTCAGTCATTCTGTTATCAGCTTGTATTTTGGAGAAATCTAAAATCTTATTTATAAATTCTCAGAAGTTAGGTTAGGTTAGGTTATAAAATTATAAAATTATAAAATAATACCATTATAAAATAATATTTTAAAAACAAAATCTAAAACAGTACATTACAAAATATTGGAAATTTAAATTGGAGTAGAACATAGCCCATAGGAATGTAAAAAAGTATTTAGTATTCTAGAATATAAATACAAATAAAAAGTATTTTTTAAGTATTTAAAATACATTGGTTAAAAAGTATTTGAAATACAAAAAAAGTATTTAAATACAAGTATTCGAATACTTAACAAGACTGCTCGATTGCTGAACACAAATCCTGGCTATGATACCCTAAGTATGATCGACGCTTGCATTAATGGCACAAGTTAATGTAATGAGTACTACCGCCCAATACAATAATAACTAGGAATATGGCTTTTATGAACAACTGTCCTGTGATTTCGAACCGTAATTTTCTGCATTTAAATTTATTTTGGATGACAAGCGCCAAAGTTTTACAACGGACTACTTGGAGCAACATCTAGTAATAAACTGCTATTAAACGAGAACTATATTTCTAAATAAATGTAATATCTTACATTCATAATTATTCTTTGTTAATAAATTTCATCATCATAAATTATTCGTATTTTTTTAAATTTAATTTTTTGTGCATATTTTAACATAGTGTCATAGTCTATGCATATTTCAGTATTTTATGCTGCATATTTGCGTACTTATAATAGATAATTATACGTATATAAAATGTAATCCGTGGTCTAGTTATTATATTTGTATAACCGTGCAGTCCAGTGTTGTGCAAAGAACAACTTTAAAATTATCTAGATAAGATAACAGCTGATAATGCGTTGACATTTCATCTAGGTAAGGTAATAGAGAATTGAGTAAAAAAATTATCTAGATAAAAAACTGAGAATTATACTGTTTTTAGATTTTTACAGCCTTTATAAATTAAATTATAATGCAAAGAAGTTTGAATACTGTATGATTTTTTCCCTTCCTCTTTTTTCATGTATTAATTGCTTGTAGCACATATTTTTATTATGCTCATAAGTCATAGGCATAGATTGTATATTTCTTACAAGAAAAACAATCTAAAAAAATAATTTTGCATGGATACATATATTTATAATCTTATAGTTAATACCTATTCTTTATTATTTTATATTTTTATGTAAAAATACAATATAGATTACGTTAATACATTGAACATTTTAAATTATCTGGGCATTTAATTTTCTTGTTTAATGAATTAATAACAATTCATTGTATATTTGTATTAAAAACGTAAGAATCAATGCAGATAATTAAATCTAGAAAAAATTTAAACTAATTTCCAACTATTTTCTTCAATTAACGTTCAGTTTCATTTTAGTTTTAATAAAAATATAAGAGTAAATCGAACTATTCTGGAACATTTTAACGTGATCGTTACACACGGTGGGCTTAGCAAGTAAGAAAATAGATTTTCTAGACCCTCAATCGCTCGTCCCGTTCAAAGTCTATTCGGGCCCGATCGGTTACCACACCTCTATCGCATATATAGGTACATTCTTCCATCTCTATAATCAATGCTGATGCACTAAATATTTTTAATAAAATAAAATATAAATTATATGACGTCATGCGTGTTGGCTAAATACGCCAGGCACATACCATCCCTCTCCCAAAGACCGATTTTTACTACATTTTTATCGTATTTTCGTGCGCTGTCCGACGTCCGTAAATGGTGGAGTAAAACCGGTTGATTGCCCGCGTCTAAATATACACTCTTTTCACCCACCATTTCCGTCTCGTGTAACCAACTAAAACTTAAAATATTAAATATTTGTCGGCTCTATTAAGTCAGTGTATAACGAAAAAGAAACATATAGTTTTTATTAGGTACGAACATCCGGCCGTCGATACTACCGCACACGCCTCCGCTTTTTTTGATTCTCGTTAAGTCGGTTGATAAACTATCTAAAAAATCATCTACAGGTATTCTATCTATATAGGTACTAGACAAATAAAAATAAGTATACTGCTCACGAAATGACAACCCCTCCCCCACCAAAAAAAAAAGAGACTTGTCTTTCGATGGAAAACTCGTGTGGCTGTGACCAACTACTAAGGTTTACCGCACGGCTTAATTCCTATTGTCTATTGACACTTTTTTCGTCCGGTGCGGTGGTCTTGAGTGGGTGGGAACATAAAATCATTGCTGCACGATATATGACGCCTTGTGACTTGAGTGTTCGACCCGAAAATATAATATTATGATTGTTCCAACAACAATAATATTCCGTTCAGGTCGTTTTATCGGAACAAGTGACGCCATCTGTTTGACGAATATTCTACTAATACCTATATTATAATATTTTTATGTTCGATGTCCGTAATATTTTGTGAAATACGATTTGGTTTGGTACAATTTCCTCGATGGAATTAGTCGAAGGGGCATACTGCCGATACTTTTGCCCAGAGTGTGAGGTAGCAAAAGAAAAATTAATGGTTCGCACTACTGGTAATCCGCGTCCGCAGTAACGGCACGGACTCGGTAACCGCGGTCAATCCCAAACGTTGGTCGTTGTGAAGCCGTAAAGATTCGTCCGGCTCACATATTGGAGAAAATGACATCCATACGCTGGCAAAAATAACTTTTATCGAATCGAATGTCGAAGCTCGTGTTTTGTTGCGGGGCATGTATTTCTAAAGCTTATAAAGTTCGAACGTGATTTTTAAATACAAAAATTATACATAATATGGCTATAGGTACTGCAAATTTTAATATTATAATCCATACTGGTAAAATTTAAAGAATATATTTCATTGAAGTATCTTAATAAAATGTGCTGTCTCGACAGAACGTCATAATCCTTGTTTTTGAGCCCTTATCGTATTTCATTATGATGGGTACTCCTTAACAAAACTGATCCATGGTGCGGCAGGTTTCCAAAAATCCGTTACTCATAACACCTGTTGTTGTTATTCAATAGCCAGGATATACATACAATTATAATACTAGAATGACTTTTAGGAATTTGTAGGGTCTCACAATTAGTTAAGTTTTTTTGATTGAAGTTAATATTATTATATTGCTGAAGATTTCAATTTAAAATAGGTATTTTATTATCAATCAATAATTGAATATTTCAGAAATAATGAATGTATATAATTATTTACTGTGTCGACGATTATAATATTACAATTTATGAATTGAAATACAAGTTAATTAAGACAGTAATAGCTAATGTCATAGAAGTAATTATTTCAAAGACAGATAATAATGGAACGCAATTAACTGTCTCATAAGATCGTGTGGACGACTACGTCTTAGGCGTCGTTTGAGTATGGCGACTTATGTGTATTATAGTAAGTGCAGTAGATTGAAATGAAGTGAACTGGATGATTTTAGTTGAGATTTGAGACTAGTCAACTATGAGCACTTTTAGAAGATAAACTTATCCTTAAATTTTGTGATGATGATTTTTGTTTTTCTGCCTTTCGGTGGTCTTTGTGTAAACATTCATTTCGTATGAACCATGGGTGCATTTGCTACATTTCTAAATACCGGTAAGTACTTAAAACTTTGAAATATCAAAATTTTTCTTTTGAAGTGTGCGGGGCACAATAATTACAAAATATAAAGAAAGCGGTAGTGAATAGTGGATGTTATATTTTCTTATACAAGGTGGGACACTAAAACAGACAATTTTCTTAGTTCAATAGTTCAATATTAAAACATGAAAAAAACAAATGATTTTTATTATTGTATAAATTTATTAGAATGCAAAGTACACAACATATTATTTGTTTAAAACAATATTTTCTCAAGATGGCCACCATCTCTTATCTTACTTGTACTAGACTACGCCATTTAAGGCGAACAATCTCAAAATGAACGATTAGCAGCCACAATATAGCTGTTGTTATTTTTATAAAACGATTTATATATCACAAAAGTACGCCGTCAACTAAATTATGGCATATTTTTTTAAAATTAATATCAAGAAAATTTGTTTTTAAAAGCAGCTGTTTCTCCGACTCACACTGTATATTATAATTGTGAATCTATGAACCATTGAACCCTAAAATGTATACTGTATTAGTACTTATTACAGCCAAACACAAAAAAAATCATTAAAGATTATCGTTGAATAATACTAAATACTGTTTGCCTTGCTCTCTTCTGTTTAGGATTTATAATTAATAGCAACGACTTAAATAATTAATTAACGTCTAAAGTAATAAAGTGGCTGTGCCGATGTTTCTAAGTAATGAGTAAAATAAAATTTAAGTACAATTTCTATATCAATTTCTATATTCACTATTCACTACTATAAAATTAAATCTAAATTTATATTTTGTGATTTGTGATGGAAAATAATTCATAACTGCATGATATGACCTAATATACCAGCTAGGCACCAAATAATATATTTATTTTGTAATTCATTATTTAGTATAATCTCATGAAATAAAATGTAAATTATACATAAAATAAGATGTTTTATTATTAGAATGATAATTATACCATTTATTTAGGTATTTGAAAAAACTGTGGTTTCTTCGAAAACTCTTGAAGGTAATTAAATAAGGTGTATACTAATTATTATATGTTACGCAACGTTGTAAATTATGTGTATTAAAAATAATATAATTTGAATACAATAACCGAACAATAAATTCGGTCCATATTAGGCCAAATAAATTTACCTAACTATTAATATATACGTCTTGATCTTATTTGGGAAAATGATATGCACAAAGAAGTTAATAAAATAGGTATTTACCCCACTGCGTTTTAAATCGAATTAGTTGTTATTAGGAAATGTACAGCTGAACGCCGTCTTCCAATCGTCTAGAAATCACTGTATAGGTATTATTTATTTATTTGTATATTAATTGTATGCTTAACTCACGGTTAGTATTATTCTCTCGTTGTGTTGCAAAATTCATCACATGCTGCTTGAAGAAGTATTTAAACAAGACAGATTATTTTTTTCACAACTATTGGCATTATATTATTATTGGGTACATCTTTCACGACCCGAATGCGCCCAATTTCGATCCCCGATTTGGTTGACGCCAATCGTAGACACATTTATGATAATAATACAGTTATGGGTATGATAAAAATATATGATGGTTAATGATTGATTTGATATACAGCTGTGGTATACAGGAACGAAGAGCCACAATATACGATTGACACAATATGCGACACAATATGACGTACGATATACACTACCGTAATTATTGAGGTGATTATCAAACAACAGAAATTAAAATAATAACAATTCATTAAAATATGTAGATTATTGTGTGTTCATCAAATTCGATGAGGCTTATTAGTTATTACAGTTTGGGTTTTTCGTTTGTACGACGACGGTGTTTTTTGTTCCTTCATATTTTATTTTGGTAGAATCAAATCATTTAACGGCTGTAAATGATTGTACTGCTAAGGTCGTGATATTGTGTTGGCTTATCGATTTAACGCATTAACACTAATATTGAACGATTAATTTTGTGTGTTCGGTATTATTGCCCGTTCATCTTAGTTTCTTGTTGATTACATAATAATATATGTTATGAATTATAATATTATCAGGTTATTGATCCAATAATATTGGATTAATATACTAGACCGTCAATGAAGATTTTAAATGTTGAAATTTTATTTTTTTTGTTATATTCATTAAAAAGCCTCTGAGGCTTGGCGTCAACATTATAAAAAAATATCAAAAATATTAAAACAATAATAAATAATTAATTTTGTCGGTTTTGAAAAATAAAATATTTTTTTCAATCAACAAAATAATAATATAACAAAATAATAATTTTCTGCACTTATTGTGGGTACACTCATGGAGTAATATATTGATATTATTAGAATTTATTAGTTTTTATAATTATGTGCATTGTATCTAATCGTATATAATTGATCTTTGAACACGTATAATTAGGATATAGTTTATAGAAGATAAGTAAATATTAATATAATTATAATATTATATAATTTATTATTAAATAGATGAGATTCATCATTTTCACGGTCAATCGAGGTTTCGAATCACAATAATATAATATAATAATATATAATATGTATAACATCATAAGTATTTGTAAATAAGTCTATATTTTATCACAAAGGTTTTTTCTAAGATTAATACTTATTTTTGATAACGATAACATTATTTTGAATTTCGCGTTGCCGTGAATATTATATTAAAACATAAGTGCCTATAAATAATTCATAAATATCACTAGAGAAATACAATTTTTAACGATAATTCAATGCTCGCTGTACCGAGTGAACGGTGTGGTCAGGTACAGTTCAAACATTGAAATGGTAAAAAATCATAATATATCTCAGCCAAAGAGATGTAAAATATTATAGTAGTATAATATATACTATATTCTTTTACAGCACATACTTGACTTCACTGAAGTCATTTCAGCTACTATTGTTGTACTCTGATCAAGTACAGTTTAAACTTCGGGATACGTTAAGTAGGTAGGTATATGTAATATATACCCGACCTTTGGTTCAGGTCACTGAGGAATGATTTCTTAGTTGAGACACCAACCTCTTCACCACTATGTATAGTTACTCCAGAGATCTTGAAAATATTTTGGCCGCCCGGGTTTATCGTCAGTCCGATCCACCGATCCATCGTCGAACTGATGAAGATTGCTGTGCTGTTATGGAGATCATATGCTGTCGTCGTGGTGGGATTATGGTTTGGGAAATTTATATGATATATTATTGTCCAACGACGGATGTGGTGAATATTGCAGGTTAGGTCGACTGAGTTGGACCGATCAGTTCTTGGTGGATCTGTTCGCGGCTCTTGTTGTTGGTCTCGGGCACGTAGAACAGCACGAACAGGAACCCGGCAGCCGAGAACGCGGCGAACGAACACCACAACAACACGGGGTTCGCCTCGACGAAGATCTTGAACGTTTTCATGATGACGAACGACAGGGACCAGGAAAAAGACGCGGCCAAGGATTGTATGCGGCCGCCGTACAAAGCCGGTGACAGCTCTGTGCTTATGAACCACGGAATGGGTCCGAGACCAAGTCGGAAGGCGGATATGAATACGCACAGGATGAGCAGCAGGGTCATCCTCCACGGCGAGTCCACTAGCGTCTCTGTATGGGTACAATGTACATAATAATAATATAATTCGCTTAAGGATCCTGCACAATCATAATGATTTTTACTGTCACGATATGAATCGTAATATTTGGAGGTAAACTTTCTGAACGGTAATTATAAATCAACTTTACTAGATTTCGAATATTTAACACGAAAATCTGATTTATATACACAGGTGGTCTATGTATTATATTATGTTGTGGAAATCGTAACATCCGGTTCCGAATTCCACTTCGAGTTTTAGATATTTTATAATTTCGTCCACATTTCGTTATGATAACGGATCAACTACAACGCAACATTTCACTCACCGTTTTCTATAAGGCTGAAGTAAGCGACCAAGAGGACGAGACACGCGGTAATGACCGCAGACGAGATCAACAGCAGAGTCCTCCGTCCGACCTTGTCGATGAACAGGAACGACACTCCGGAAGCGACCAGTTGGAATGTGCCGACAATGATGCACGCAGTGTTTGGATCTATAGTGGATCCGGACATTTTGAACAACGTGGACGAGTATTGGATCACACCACCGGCGCCGGACAATCGCTGAGCGAGCACCAGGCCGAAAGAAATGATCGTCACCCTCGCTAAAAATTTCCTGAAACCATTTATAAATCATTTTTAAAAAAATTGTAAAAAACAAGGACCTCGTGCACTTTGCTCACGGTTGACTGGTTACGTCGTATTATAATCTAATAAGTAGGTAGGTAAGTTAATAATTTTCATAGGTTTGAGTTAATTATCTTATAAAAAAATTAATCAATTTTGGTTGATGTTAATTTTAAAATATAAATTAATTTGAGTTACAAAATTGTTATAAACATTTCCATAATATGTAACAACTTAAGTTAAATGCTATTTTTTTTTTAAATTAACATTTACCACTTTCATAAATGTATTATTTTATTCTAGGAATGGAAAATTACTTGTTATTGTTTTGGTGTATGTCAATAAGCTAATAACGAACATTTTATCTGATATTTGATGTTTATTTATGTAAAAATGTTATGTTTATTTCAATCACTGGGTCTTAGAAACATTGGCTACTTAGTTAAATTATTGTGTTTATAGAGCATTCGAACCTTCACGAATGTACAATACTGTAATGTGTGTTGTTCAGCTTTGTTTTAAAACAATACAGACTGAATTACGTCAATGTACTTTCAATAATAACAAGGGTAAATCGTAAAAAAATATTATTTTACTTGTTTTCGGCACTCATATTTCCCCCACGTTCAAATAACTCATCGTCGTGGCACTTGGATGTCTCTATTTTATCGAACTCGTTTTTGACATCGAAACGCCTACCCCTTAACCACCTGTAAACAAGAAACTACAGTTTAATAAAATACATTACGTAAATTCAAAATAATTGGCTTAACTTACTTTGACCTAAACTAAAAAATTAAATTTTTTTTGGATGAATAGTGACTCATAAGTAATCTGATATTTAAATATTCAACTTTTTGAATTCATATCAGTTTATGTTTATTGAATTATTATTATACTAACCATAGAAAAAGCAGTTTAAGGTTGGTTATGTATTATACTACTCTGAATCGCTTTATTAAAGCATATTGTTAATAACTAAATTTAACATTACTAAAAAATCGCCTAGGGAATGGCGAGTAAGTGCTATAAAAAAATTTCATACCACTCGCTATTAAAAAATATAATAATATAATACACAAGGCATAAACTGACCTCAGAGCCGATGCCGCTTGTTCATACCGGCCGACGTTGTACAGGTAGACAGGAGACTCGGGCAAGTACGCGAACAGCACGACAAACATCACCGGCACGACGGCACACGCCAGACAGAACTGTCGCACTCCCTGCAACACCGCTCTGGCCACGTAAGCGTATAATATTCCGGCGCATAGCATAAAGTCCAGAAACACCCCCGTGCGGCCACGCAACACGTCCGACGACACCTCGCGGGCGTACAGCGGCACGGCCACGGTGGTCGCGCCCACCGATATCCCGCACACGAACCGTCCCAAGCACTCCAGGAACAACTGTAAACCGACAAACACATGTAGTCGCGAGATTCCATATTTGTCGTTGTTGTTGTTGTTGTTGTTGTTACTGTTGTTGTTGTTGTTGTTGTCGGGTTGGTTGTAATTGTTGTGCGTTCGACCCAAGACGAAAAAGCATCGGAAATATTTCACGGAAATATAGGTGCGGGAAGAGATCCTTAAAGAGGACGTGCCGCGGAAAAAAATCACTCGAAAAATTCCTTTAAAAACGTATTTGCGCGTTCCAATTACATGGGTTACTGATTGGTTTTGTCGTAAAAACACCTATGGACAAAATTGTAGAGGAGAGTTATACCTGGTTCCGTAATAATCTCGATTTTTGAAATTTTCATTTCTAATTCCTAAAAATCAGAGAGTGATCAACCAGCTCAACGTTTTCCATTGGTTTACTGTTATCACTGATCATGGGTGCCATTTTTCGTTATTATTGTGAATTGCTAATAGGTATGGCAGTACATATTACATAGGTACCTAAACTTTGAGTAGGTTAGGAAAATTGACTTAAAATCAAAGTCTTGTTATTGTATCAGACACAACGCAATCACATTCATTTTTGAAACAAAACGGCACATGAATAAATTATCCATTCTTTTTATTGAGTCGTTACTATATTAATACTGAATTGAAGAAAATTTGAAGAAAATGGGATTTAAGTAAGTAGATTAGGTATATTATTATGCTATATGGAAAACCCATAGCCGTAGACGTCGACAAGTGGTCGTCAAATGTCCGACTAGGTTTTTTTCACAAATTTGTTACATTTCAATATTTTTGAATTTTAACATAATATGTATGTGCCTATTGTAGGTACCTATTGTATATTTTTATTATTCCGGATGACAGTTTTTTCGTGTAGGTATACCGTATACATAGAAATTGCTACTCAAGTGAAATTATATTGAAAATTTAACTATTTATTGGTATTACTTTTTAATGGTTATAATGAGTTATGGCGATGTAAAATGTGAAACGATTACGGAAATTAGTAACAAATTATGATTACCAAAAGTCTTAAAAAACAAGTTTTTAACGCTGTATTATAATAATTGCAAGTACGTCGACTATTATAACTCAGACACGCTTATATGAACTATATGGTAATATTATGTTTTTCGTTGTTACAAAATAACAGTTTTTTTTATCGCCAACTCATAATTTATAATATATATTATATACATAATGTTATAATGTAATCAGTTGTGAGCGAAAATTTCGTCTTATGAAAAAAATAATATTAAAGCGGTAATCGATTCGGACTTTAAAAAATAGTAAATACATTAAGTTCACTTGCAGATAACTTATTTTCAAACCAAACACTGTAAGTCTATAGAGTATAGTTTTGCTCTTTAAAAATGATTATTATTATGTCATATACTCACGCTCTCTAACCGCAACACACATATTAACCACCCGGCTATCATGGGGGCGGCCAGCCAGAGCAGAAGCGACTTGCGGCCATATTTTTGGCCCAAAAAGCCGGCGGGCAGTGCTCCGATCAGAGCACCGAACACGTAAATCGATATGATCCAAGATTCCTGTTCGGTGGACCACTTCTTCATATCGTCGTCTTGGAGACTTCCTTCGGTCGGAGACCATCCCGCGATAACTGTGCCCGCCGACAGCGACATCAAAGAGGCTACACAAAATGTAAATAATATAAAATGATCAAAATGTACAATATTGCTACAATGATTTTAATTAGGGATGAGTCAAACTTTGTTTTCAATAAATCGAACTTGATTTTTTTTTTCTAAATCTTATGCAAACTTTAAAAATATTAAAAATTTAAATATGAAAAAATTGTAAATCAAGCAGTGGCTTACATTAAGGCTTAACTTAAAATGTTTAAATCAAATAAAAAAAATGTTTAGGTCGTTTATAAGTGCTTATTTTGAGTAAGATATTACATGTGCCTAAAATGAACAACATTTTACACTTGATAAAAAAATAATCCAAATAAATCATACTCGAACTTTTCGAGTTTGATAATGCTCCAAGTAATAATTATTTTAGCTATTTGAGAAGTTCTAGTTTGAATCCGAACCCAAATTTTTCATGACCTTTAAACTGTTTCGATTTCTAAAAGTTCATGGTGTTTTATGAGTTGAAGAATCTGATAACCTATCCCTTATATTATTTTGATTGATTATATCGTTTGTTTTTAGGAATAAAGAAGAGTAATGAAAAATTATCAGGTATTTTATTGTTCAAAAATATTAAATTTGATATCATTTATAATATTATATCAGAATAGAATATGATTGTTTTAAAATGTTACCAAGAAAGCACGCCAACAGTTGTCTGCGACAAGATTTTGCCTCCTCTGCCTCGTTTGCTCCGATAAGTCTTTCATTTTCTCTGAACGTCTTTCTATTCATATCGATACTTTCATATGAGTATAATATTTTATACTGGCAGTCACAATGTATTTTGAATTTTGATGTTCAAAGTCTTGTGAATACAGCCTGAAACATACAAACATTAAAATATACAGAGTGTCTAACCAAGTTTGTCTTCGTAAGGATAATTGCATATTGCAACCGCTTTTATCAACAATTTTTGAGTCAAATAAAAGTTATTAAAATTCTACTCTTCATGTTTATAAATAAATCAGTTGAATTATAACTTACTGAATCAAATTTTTAAGAGATACAATATAATAAGTAACAAAAAACTAAAAATTGTACAATGACCTTTCCACACATCCTATTACAGAGTTTTAGGTTTCTTTAAAATGTCCATATTGAAAAATGTTAGAAATTATGTATTTGTATAAATTATTAAACAATCATCTGGATGGTTTTCAGGTCCTAAAAAAAAATTAATTTCAATATTTGCAGTAAAAACACTAGTAAAAAACAAATTAATATCAAACAATAGTATGGTCAATATTTTCAAGCCGTTAAAAATGATATAAAATATAATGAATCAGTTTTGCAAAACTTTTTGACATAGGTTGAGAGGATTTTAATTTTTATTCATAAACACATTTTACTATGTGTCTTACACTGAGCGAATTATAATATACGTAATAATAAAAAATATATACTAAAAACACCTAGGTTTTTATGTTTAGTTGGAAAAAAATATTGAACATCGTTTCGATTAAACGTGAATATACACTTGTTAATGAAACAAAATACGTTCACAAAATTAAAATCTACCCAACGAAAATCCCACAGATTTGACGGTCGATCAGGCGTAATTACCGGCTTTTTGTATGTTGCCCCCAGTCTCTTTTAAATCGTCTATAAGATATTATTATATTTTCTGATAGATACGTGTAATCATTTAGAAAACTGTCGACCAACTGTTTCTCATATTATGTTGCTATTATTTAGACTTGTGTGGCGTTTACTGCCGTCTGCCTTGTGTGAGCTCGTCGAATAAGCAAATTGGACTCTGTAAATAATTTTCCATACAAGTGCAAAACGGTATTGAATTACAATCTACTTGCCAACACTCTGATAACGCCATACAGTGTATTTCGTTTTAATCTATACCAGCTATTGTTAGATCACGTATCTCGCCATATAGACTTTGCATCGTAAACATATTACGGATTTTAAAACTGTTTATGTGGGCGCTCTGTACATTTTTTTTTTTAACGAATTCGTTACGATATTTTTGCTTAGGTATTTATAGCGTACTATGTATAATTTGATTAAGTTTGGCTATTTATGATGGTGGTGTTAGGTATACAGTTAATTGTATGAATACGCAAAATACATGTGAAAAAAAAAAATTAAATTAAAATTAATTGAAAATCATAATTAATATTATAATATTATTTACTAAATATCAAAAATACTGTGACAATGCATTTTTGATATTTTCCAATTGTTAATAACTAATAACAAATAACTATATATGTATATATAACTACACAAATAACTAATAACATATGGGAACTTATATTAAATTTTAAAGATTTCGAGCTAACAATTTTTTATCAACATGTATTGAAAAAAAATTAACAATGGAAAATGTCTATATATTATGTATACCATGTGTCCCCCAAAATAGGGTATACTCTATAATCTATATCTTAGTTCATATACTACTCAGTAACCTAAGCATATTTTTGAATTCTGTTTGATTGACATAAGCTTAACTGTTGGATCTTAAATTCCTATAACTTACAGTTTTTTAATTTTTGTATTTTGCACATGCGCAACAATTAAATTTTTTTGAATACCTAGTTTTTGCACGAACACGGTTTTTAGTTCAAAAAGAGTCAAAACATTTTGAATTCTTTATAATGTGTAGATAATATTAATATAAATTTAGGGACAATTTTAAAGATCTGCAGTTATTGGTTTTTTAACTAAGCCATACAAAAAACAAGTATTGCAATACATTTTTAGCATTGGCTATTCTTATTCTACTTTATTTTTGTTTTTCAGTTTCCTGATGATTTTGAAAAATACGAGGAATTTCTTTGTCGTTAACCCCTTTACTAGATCCGATTTTCTACCAGAAATACATCCAATGTTTAAAATCTAAGTATTTTTTCTAACAGAAATAGAATAAAATATAAAATTACAATCAATACATTCATCAAAATCATGGATTTAAATGTCTTGTGGGTTATACGAATAATACAAAGAATTATGAAACTGTTCTCTGCTCTTGAAGAATAACATAAAATAGAAAAAAATATAATAATTATACAATATGTGTATAAATATAAGAATGTTTTGCAATATAACAAATAACGGAGTTCGCTATTTTGTATCCTATTATTAAACTGCAAACTTTTCTTAAGCACAAGAGTGATGATAATCACTAAAACTTGTTAAGTAGTAAAACCAGTTACGAAAAACTGTAGCAGTCTGCTAGTAACTCACTAGTGTAAGACAATATTGTAACCGATACCAGTATACCACGAAAGATGAAAAACAAGTACTTGAAATAGCTGAATTACTGAAACCACAATTATGTAGGTATTCCTCCCGAGATTATTAAAGTGAATTGGTACACATCGTACCTTCTACCAACCATAATACTTAGGTATTACTTATTATTTATAGTCTATAGAATTAGATATATTGTAAAAATTAATAATGGCTTGGCGTGGCGCGTTGCTGCTACTAGTTGCGGAATGCGACTGTGAGTAAGTAACGGCCACAGCTACTAGTTCCCGGATGGGTGACCACCCGGGTTCATAGTAGTTAAAAACTTTGCCACACATACACGTGTTTGCTACCTACCTTAACAACCGTAACAATCGTAAAAACAAACCTACCGTACCAACCTTACCCCTACCACAGTTCATAACCCCTACAACAGCTAATGGCCTTAGTTACCGGGCTTAAATTCAATAATAAAAAAATTAAAAATTAATAAAAGTCAACATTATCGTTATTATATAATACGAGTTAAAATATATCGTAAGCATATTACATGTATTATTAGTATTAAGATATTGATGTCTAATGATTGGATAATATAGAAATTAAAAATAGTACGTATACATAAGTAACATGACGTGTCAGCAGAATATTTAATACAACTATCGAATTTTATTCAATTTTTTTTTACTATATTTTTTTTTTTGAAATGTTTGCTTTGAAAATGGCTCTCATGCGATTATAATGAGCTATATGTTATATAATTTCGTGCATACTATCATTAACTATTCATTAGTTAATAGTTTTCTTACTTATTTTAGTTTCGGCCAGTACCTACTCGGCTACTCGGTGGAGTACCCAGTGGCCTGGCGAAGGGAAATTTCAGAGGCAATTGCCTCTGAGATTTTTCAAGTTTTTTTTTGAGGGGGGGGGGGTGTCACGACTCGCGAATATATACACTACTTGGCACCCTCCAATTTCTTATTTTATAAGTATATAATACTTTACTACGACTATATGACTAAGATACTAATATTCGAGTACTATATTATTGTAATTAAAATTGATACATATTCAAACAGAATTATATTAAACCACCCCCTCCCCACCTCTATTTGTATTTATAGTAGGAGGTGGGTGGGTCTTCGGGCTTTATGTTACTTGCCTCTGGAATATTTTCAGTTCGCCAAGCCATTGTGAGTATCTAACATAGAACATGGTGTAGTGGTGTACCTGTATAAGTTTTGTATGAGAGGTGATTACGAGGAAAAAAATATTAACTGTGTACAAAAATTAGACATATAAGATATTTATTAGAATGATTTTCTTATAATTTGATTGAGGAAAAATTATACAATCTGTTAGAGTGAACGGAATTTTATTTCAAGGAGGAAATATTTACAGATTTATCAAATCTTATAATATCGTTATAAAATGTACCAATAAGTATATCAGTTGTTCCAAGCTACTGGAAACGTAGAATTGTTTTATTAGTGTTAAGACTAGAATACATTTATCACATCCAAATAAACATCAAGTAGTTTATATTTTATTATGATATATAACAGCAAATAGAAAATAGTAAATCACACAAAATTTATGAAATACGAATAAAAATAATCACAATATTCGTTAAACGCTGTATTAGATAGAAGTATAAATATGTACAAAACCTTCGACACTTAAATGTCAGTGTGTCAGGTGAAAACAAAAATAATAATTTTGAACTATATAAAGACTCGTTTAACTGCACTATATATTATTATAATTTCAAGACAAGACAATTTAGAATAAAAAATCATAATAAGATTTTTAATACGCATTTTAAAAATTACAAAAATAAATTGCATTTTATATGGAATTCACTGTCATTCCTTTAAAAAAAGATGGAAAATGCATTAATTCAATATTACTAAACGAATATTAAATCACATTCAAAATATCGTCCAAAAACATTAGTAAATTACGATGTTTTATAATTATATAACTCAAATACATCGTAAATGCACAAATTTGTCAAAATAAATCTATAATACCCTAAAAAATAGGTCATATGCATATAGAATAGTGGATAGTGCATGTCAGTCTAGTGCGATAGCTGTATTATGTCATTGTGACAGCAACTATCATAATATATAGCTTATCAAAAAAACAATTATAAATCCTAATAAATTAAGATTAAGATTGTATAAAACACCGTACTAATAATATTATCTACACTAGAACTATATATTTACTTGATCGACGTGTTATTACCATTAACCAGACGATTAATTAAATAAATGGTACAATCGAAAATGTCGGCAAATAACGGACATATATTCGCAGAAAAAGCAACGATAAAAACATAACCTAACCTAATCTACTGGTAACTGACGAGTGATGAATGATGAGTATTGATGACTGATGACTGATGAGTGACGAGCGATTGAAATAAATTTAACTTTTTGTTGTAGTTTATTTTTACAAGCTATTTTTAAATTTAAATGAAATTCAAAAATGAAATACAGACATTGATAATAATATTGTATTTATTATTTGTTATTTAATACTGACACACAATTGTGTGTCACCTGTTTAAAATAACTAATGGTAGGGTGTTGTGTTTTTTTGTACTTGCGGATGAATAAATATATTTGTCGGTGCTTCAAAAAGTTAAAAACCGATGCTTAGTGAGCCCGTTAACCCTAAAAGTCTAAACTTACTGATCAAAGGATACCTACAAGTTACAACTGGTTGAAACATAATATTATACAAACAAATGCTTGCGATTTCCGATATAGCCTTTCGAAGCACAATCGACTAGCTAGACACTAGTAATGGCGAAAAATATTAATAATGAGCTTCAAGTGATTCTTAACGATTAACAATGATCAATATACCTAACAATTTACTCCGAAAAATCGGTTTAAAAAAAAAAATAAATTACGTACCTACATTATATTATTATGATTATGAGTATAAAAAAAACCTTGTAACACGATAAATACCTTCGGAAATATAATATTGTGTTAATCGCTGATAACACAGTCCGTGATCTTATTCCAATATTGCTACTCGACCAGCGACGTTTTATCGAGTAGGTAATTAAAACAATATAGAACAGTGCTCGCTAATAGCAGTCGACGCAGTCCAAACCAACTGTAGAAAACTTTGTTCGGTATAAAATGTAACACTACATAGTAATTTTAACCAGTTTTAATTATTGTTCTAAACTATAATAATATTATAATCATTGCGATGCACGTGTGGTCGTCATCGTCGGAACACTGCGGCTGGTCTCGTAGAGGAAAAGGGCGCACACAAAATACAACGCACAGATCGTGTGCCGCTAAAGAATATAATATTATATTAACCAGTTTGAATATTACCATACACTTCACCAATCTCAGTTCGGAGGAAACTACATACCGCGTGTTATGCAATAATATTATTATAAATCGAACGTGACCTATAGATGGGTTTTGATGTTTTTTTATCGCTTTATTGTACTGTAATACTATACTGTATATTTCATCGTACAAGTAGCAGGATTAGAGATAAGTGTTTCGTTTTTACCTAGATAACGATAAACACACAGACACAATTAACATTTATTTAGATGTTCAAATAAAATATAATTAGATCTGAATTCATGCTTATCTAGATATTCCGATATTCGAGTAAAATGAAATACTAAAATCTAAATTCTTATTAATCCGAGTAAAGAAAATTATGTCAAATATTTTTTGATTTAGAGAAAATATAACGTTTTTTTTTAGTACGTATAACACAACAATTTCAAGTCCTCGACTATACAGGGTGTTCCGCAAGTATTTACCCGTTACGATATCCCCTGAGATAATAAATATATCATAAATCTTTTTTTTTTGTATTGGACTCACGGAGACAAGAACTACATAATTATTATATTTTATTTTTGAATCTTATTAAATTTTCTGGTAAAAAAGTTAAAAAAATTATTTTTTAATTTTGTTATTTTTTTAAAACAATTGAAGATATCGATTTCGAAGAGTTTATTTTTCTGAAAATTTTGACTTTTTGACATTTAATTTTCATCGATTTCATGATTTTTAATTATTTTCTTAGCTTATAGGTAAAACGGTTTTCCTTTTGGCTAGTCCCCTTCTACGGCTTATAGGCATATCCTCACGGGAAATCTGGTATGTAGTGAAATCACGGTAATCAATAAAATTAAAATTGAAACCAAGGAAAAAATAACGAAAAAGGAAAGCATATATTTTTTAAAAGCTACGAAAAATATAAAACGTAGGTTATGAAGTAAAAGGTTAGGAAATGGCATATGAAGAACACCTTTCTCATACTTTCTTCCATTGTTTATATTTATTTGTGTTATTATTTGAGTCAATACAATTTATTCTGCTGGCAGTCACCAACGGGTTAGTCGATAGAGTGTTACATGTTGTTTTTCATAACTTGGTGTAATGGTGTTAATTTTTAGAAATTTAAATTAAAAAAATCAATAAAATTGATGATAAAATGTGTTTTGAAGAATCACGTTTATTTCTATAGGAACAAGGATAATAAAAATGTCTACTTAGAGAATATGTTCCAAAAACAATACAATACTAATCAACCTGAAATACTAAAGATTACTGTTTTAAAAATAAAAACTAATACAAAAAAAGAACATATTTTAATATATTTTTGTTCTATCTCCATTGGTATTTTTATCTGGTGTTCTTTTTTTCCCTGTTCTTTTTTCTTTTTCCTTATTCTTTTTTTCCCTCTGTCGTTTTCCGATATTCGTAAAAACACAAATTAATAAAAATAAATTTTTTTAGTAAATATAGTTACTGCTAGATACTGAATACATAATATAAATGAATAAAACATTTTTTAAACTATGCAGATATTTTATATTTGCAATAAGTTTTGTGAGCCACTGAAATAAAATAAAATTAGTAGTGATGTTGGCATCTGCTTGGATACTTATTCGATGAATTAAATTACACGTCGTGTTTAGCTTATTAACATTTTGTTCTAAATATAGAATATGTTAATTGTTTTACATCTTATGTATTAAAACATTTATACGTAGGTCAACGATTAGGTATAACCTATAACATATACCTTCAAAAAAAAAAAAAAACGCTGAACCGTTGAAATCCCCTAACGACATACATTGTGGCGTACTTATACAACTATCATCACGCTATGTGACATTAAATAATTAATTAAATAATCGGGATACACAGGTTTGTGTCGTGATAACATTGATATATTATTGTACTAATATAATAAATGAGTGTGACTCGTGCTGTCGACGAATATTCAACTGTCCGCGGAGAAGAACATAATCGATCAAAATCTGAAGGGATTAATATTCATTCCATCAAGGCCATCACCATTTTTTTGATTGACCCTCGACAATAATGATAATAACTGTAATAATAATGATAATAAATAAAATCTTATACAATAAATGATTGCGAAGAACTGTGGGTAAACTCGAATACTCGATTAATAAACGTTATTAATTGTTATAACTTATAATATTACCATATCATTATCTCGTGGTTATATCACGGTACAAGCGGTTAATCGCGACGATTGTTAGTCCCACGATAAATCATCTAATAATAATACTGTGTCGAGGTGTATATAATTGTATCGGTAGTGGGAGTAACACATCATGTAATAATATAATAATGATATCATTGACGGGAGATGTATATAAAACGCGATCATTACAGTTTATTATTATTATTATTATTATTATTATTATTGTATCCATTTGCACAATTATTATTGTGCTTACACGAAATGTAATGTCGTTTCAATATACCAGCTCAAGGCCAGGGCACCGGGCACTTTAGTGGTTCTTGGAACGTTGTGTTGGGTACAAGTTAAAAGTTGGAATAAATTGTTGTCTATGGTATAAATTAATTTTATTGCTAGCGCATATAGTTTGATAGTGACTCGAAAAAAGTAATAGTTTTTTTACGCTACAGATATAAAAAAAAAACCTTTATAAACGTATTATATGAAAGTATAACGATTTGTGCCCTCAATACGATTGTTTAGGATAAAAAATTTAAATTATAGGAAATATAGGATTTAACACTGTCTATATTACCTGGATGTACTGATATAGAATGAAGTGACAAATTTTTGTGAAAGACAGAATACTGAAAACCGCGTTTGCCAACCAAAAATTACAATGGTTGTGAACAGTGGTGTAGGCAGAGGGAGACTTCAGCGACAATAAACCAAGTATATAGATAAAAAAATGAGTTTGGCTCTCCTGTACATTAGGTGTTCAGAGAAGTAATGGATGTGTTAAATTAAAATTCAATGATATAAAATCATTGTATGTACCAATACGAAAAACGATTCTGAGCGAAGACGATATAATATTAAGATTAGCAATTGCTTATAATACTACTAAAGTACTAAGTATAGGTATTTTATGATATTATTGTGATTAAAGTAATTCACATACTATTTACTATATTAGTTTTAGTTTTTTGCAGAAAAAATTGCATTTTAAAATGCCATTGTGTGTAAAAAATATAATGATATATTTTAAAAGTTTCAGGTAGGTAATAAGTACCCACAAATAATATTTTTAAATTAAAACGAAATAACGAACATCGTTAAGTATTCTTAGTTTAAACATCTAATTTTGTCTAAATTTTAAATTAAAATGTATATAATATAGAAAAAAAAACTATATAAAAAATAATTCAAGACAAGTCAAAATATTTTTAAAAATTACCATGTATAAAATGAAAAGATAAATATTTGGTGAGAATTTCAAATACCTCCAGTTAATAAAATAATTAAAACAAAATAAAAAAAATTTTCTATCAGCAATTGTTAATTTACTGCAGGTGAATATCTAATAAAGTAATAAGTTATAAACTTTAAACACAAATATCAAGTATCTTTTTTTTTTTTGCCAAATGTTGGAAAACTTATGGAAATATTAAAATCTCAGATATAAATAGAAAACTAATGGATTTCTAACTCAAAATAATTTACAAATTCTCGTGATTTTGACTAGTTTTGTCAAAATTCTTATTTCAGTCGTACAAATAAAAAAATTGTAGATTTAAGCTCAAAATTTTTTGAAATGTTCATTACCAACAATATATGAGTAATCTTGTATTACATTTTTCGAGTTTTTTGACAGAACGAACATTTTTTTATTTATCATAGTTAAAAAAGAATCTAATAAAATCGAAATTTTTTTATGCTCATGAATAGCTGAAAATGAAAGACAATAATTTTAAAATTTCAAAAACTGGTTTTGCATACAAATCTCCAATTTTCTTTAATTGTTTTTTTTCGTTTTTCCCAACATTTTTTAAATCTTTGGGAATTTTTTTCTTTTGACACCTCAAAGTGCTAACTATATACAATTCCCTACCAGAAAAGAGAAAAAAAAATAAACACACATCATTAAAATCAATACTTTTTATACTAAAGTAACAGTTTATCGTGTGTTAAAATTTCGTTATTTATTCATTATTATAAAAATGGTACATAGGCTTGAACATTTGCTAGATAGATATAATAATATAAAAATATGGACTGAACGTGGAGCAAGAATTTTGTGGACAACATGGTTAGAAAGAGATTGCATATGCCACTTACAACTTGGTCCATTAATACCCAGATAGAGAGAGAGACTTTAATTACTTTTTTAGAAAAAAATAACATACACATATTTACATTTTAAGTTGTTATTAGATTCACAGCCGCACAGGAATTGAATATCTCTTACTTCAAATGTTGGCACTGGGAAACCTTGGTAGGGTATATTATTATAAGCTAATTGATTTATTGATGTCGATGTGCATATTCCTCAAATACATTTTACGGTGATCAGTGACAATTAATATTGCTGTTTGTAACATGCCGATGCATATTTTCAATTTTGTGAAATTATAAAACAAACTTGTTAAAAGCAGTTTTTAATTAAAACGTATATTATTCGTATGTGCATACAGAAATTATTTTTTCGTAGAATACTGATTAATTAAAAAAAGTATTTACATTTTTATAAATTCACATTATTTTATGACATTACGTATGTACAAAATAACACGTTTTATCAATATAAACGCCATCATTAAATTGTTGGAATCTTGAAAAATTACACTATTGTTTAAATTATCGTTTATTATATGCACAGCGAAATTTTCAAACTTTTAGAATAATTTCAAGCTTTATATTCTTTATTTTATAGGCATTTGAAAGTCAGATTATCTTAGCTGTGTTTTTCTATAAATGTTAATAACATTTTTATGTTCTGAAAATAATACACGGGATTCATCATAAGTTGTATAAGTATTATAAATTTATAGATATGTACTTTATAAGCGATACTATAATAAATGTAGGAATTAACATTGGTTGTCAACCAATAGCTAAGAGTAGTAAAAGTCTATACCTGTTAAACAATGTTACTTAATGACTAAACAAGAAAAAGAGGGAAAAACAATTTGTTATCACCGAAATGTCTAAGCATCGTAACACTATACACGCGATGCGCAGGGGCGTAATTTCAATAAAAAAAAAAGGTGGGGGTGCTGAAGCCAATTTATTTTTTTTCATATTATCTTATGGTTGTGGATGCCTGCATAATGACTATTAAAATTAAAATAAATATGAAAAATATTGGGGGTGCTTAGCACCCCCAAGCACCCCCCCCCCCAATTGCACCTATGGTGATGCGGGCATTCCGGCGCTATCATATTATGCATGACGCACACGTATTAGATCGTCACTCAGTATTCAGTAGTGTCCCGAGTAAATAAATTAAGATTAATTAATAGAGAGAATATAATACGAAGGACGAGGGGTTTCCGCGGTAAAAAATGCGGTCCAGTTGTGGAAAACTGCAAACTGTAATCCAACATTGATACGTTTTTATAAAATTTTAATTTTATTCAGTTCAATATTATTTTTTGATTATTATTTTTTTTAAATTTAAAATCAGATTTGTCATCAAACAGTTAATGTGTGAAGCTGCACACAGTCTTTGAGCGCGGTAAACACAAACGACAAATCGTTCGATCACGATCAATATAACAAAAAAACACGCTTATACTATTTTCATCGTTGATATTAAAGCATAATATTTTTGGCTGTGCTCGAATGAAAACGACGAGTGTGATGCATCGATGTCACTGCTATGTATATGTATATATTTATATTGTACAACAATAATTATTAGGCTATCGATGTAGACGATATGTGATCGGAGATAACCTTTAGAAAGTGTAAATATATAACATCATTTTGTGTTGCGCCGTCGTGCGTTAATAAAGCAGTCGTACTTTGTCAATGCGTGTGGTATGTGCCCTCGGTCCCCGCAGCCGCAATACGCAACAGTCACCTCAAGCGGCCGCTTAAGTGGTCCGGATTAGTGGCGCAGATCTGAGCAATGATGTGGTGGCCGCGAACAACGACGCTTGTTCTATCGGGAGCACGTGCGGGTTACCGATTCTCACACATTTATTTCAATGATTTCGTACCACCCATCGACACCACGAGCAACGGCGCTATACCGTTTGAAATAATTTTTACGTTTGCTATACGACCCGCCGCGGCCACGTATTGCGGCCACCAGTTATGGTTTCAGTCACTCAAATATTTAAAATTTGAAAATAAACTATGAAGACAACCCGATAACAGTAGGTGAGGATAACATCGAAACCACTCAATAATATATGGAAAGGTTCTCGTTTTGCTTCAGGCATACTGCTCATACATACAGACAAGCCGCAAAGCGTACAACCGTGAACACCGAATCAAGGTAGGGCCGTTGTCGTTTACACAGTGACAGTCTCCCGAACGTCAGTTCCATGGGAAGACCTTACAGGTACCTATATATCAGGGATGGCAAACCTTTTGAACACTGCGTGCCCAAAATTAGTAATAACATTTTTTTTTTTTTTAGAGCGTGCCATGAAAAAAATATTAAAAATATTATATTTGGTTATACTATAATTTGATTGTATAGGTAATCAATGTATTAGTATAAAAAGATTAGTTTAGGTTATTATAGGTCCTATAATATTTCGCGGAAGTAATGCGAAAGCAGTTCCCGCGGCGCCGTCGGTTCAAAACTGAAAAAAAAGGTCCTATAATATTATATATCAATATATTATATAATAGTAAACATTTTCGCGTGCCACCTCGGGCACTCGTGCCATGGATTTCCCATCCCTGCTATATATATTCTCCTGAGTTTATTTAAATGAATTTGTACCAACATTCATCCAAGAGCAACGACAGTGTTACGACACACACGATGCCGTAAGCAATCTGGAACAGATTTGAAGTTGATTCGGAAACACTTAAACCGCAAAATTCAATAAAAAGTAAAATTTATGTTCAAATATCACTCTACAATTGTCAATATAAGAACTATATGAAAATTAATGAAAAAATTCGGGTTTTTTTTTGTGTCAACGAACAGTTCGTCGTTCATATGAAAATATTAACACGGTGCGGATGTTCAAAATTGAATCTTTCTACTTTAAACTCGATGATACAGAAACGTCACTTTCAAAACCCTTTTCTTTCGTTATACTTGTTAAAATTTATTTAATAGTGATTTTTTTCTGCCAAAATATAGCTTAACGATGCTCATTGATAATCAGTTTCGATTCGTGCTATCCAAATCGGACTACACGATATACATTTTTTTACAAGATTCAATTTGAAATTAACCAAAATTACAATACATTTTAAATCATTTTTTATGTGTCGTAGTGTCCTCGGAAAGTGCTCGCTGTGTCCTTAGGGCACCGCGGAGCCCAGTTTGGCAACTGCTGCTCTAGTCAAGTGCATTGTACAAAACATATTATGGCCGACTTGTTGATGATCCAGGGCGCGACCAGAACACAGTTGTAACTGAGAAGTGAGAACTGTATTATATTATTCAAAATACGATATAAACGACTTCGCAGCGATTAATGCAACAACAACAATAATAATAAATATTCGTTTGTATAGTATAATATTGAATTGTTGGAAGAGAACGACGACGCATCTCGCAGGCTTATATTTCATATTGTTACAATATTAATATTACAGTCAACTGTTATCGAGTTTATTATATTGAGTTACGACGATCGACGATGCGATTCAAACGTCATATTATACCGACAATTGTACAACTACCACGCGCGGTTGGCCACCAGAGAGATCATGAGATCATGATTTACGGTGAAAGAGTTTGCAAAGATTTGACCGTATCAAGATGTTAATATTTATCGGTCGTGCGATGTAGGCTTAAAAAAACTTTTGTGTTCATTATGTTGGTAAATTATATTGTAGAGTTGCATAATTATTAATTTTCCACGTGTATAGTTTCCGCCTATATTTATTATCGGGATTATTTATATCATTCTAATTTCACGCTTCAATAAAATCAGTACATATAATTCCGCTGTAATGCCTAACATCTTCAAATGGGGTGGACCGGTCACATACTTCACGGTTTAATAGTCATTGTTGCATTAAAAAAAAAAAATTGACTAAATAAATTTACCAATATTGAATATATAACGCATAAATTGCTTCATACATTTTTGAAACTCTATATATTATCATTCATTACCAAATAATCTTCGATGCAAAAAAAAAATATTTGTCTCATTATACTTAATTGCAGAATATCATTCTGAGAACTCACAAAAAATATATGTAAGATGCAACATACGCTATACATATTTATTTTTATTATACGTCATATTATTACGTTTGTATATAATGGTAATTGTTAGGTACAACGTAATTATTTACAGTCGCTTTAAGTTTAAACAACTCATCAACATAACTATATTTCACGAATCGTGAATAACTATACTTGCAGACACAATTACAATAATGCTTTGTTTCGTCTACGTGTATGTATATTATATTATTATTAAGTGTTATTGTTATTAAGTGCATTGAAATACTTCTCACTAAACTCTTTTTACGTGTGTTTTCACTGATCATTCCGAGGAAACTAATGACGCAGTTAACTATACTGTCTATACTTCCTCTAATTGTGACAGCTATATAATATATTAATATATTTTACAATTCTCAGAATATTACGTCTACATTTTTTACTAACTTACCGGATATGCCTAACCAACCCCAATTTAATTCAGCGTTGTATTTGAAAACAACATTTTTTTTATACACTATAATATTAACTATAAATATAATGCAATAACGTTACATAATGTCTCGAAATATGCATCGTATTAAAAACTTTTTTTAGAATTATCATTATACATATTTTAGTATGAACCATTAAAGTTTAATATTCAAGTAAGCATATATATTAATATATTATAATATGAGACTATGCGAGTACCTGCTGGGTGGGTATACGTTGTACAGAATATATTGATGATAATTTTTTATTTCATAATACGGGATACAAAGTTCGTTATAACATAATATCATATAAATATATTTAAATGAGTCGTATTTATAATGTTATAATATGTAATCAAGCACATACAAAAACAAACTAAATTTTACCACACAAATCTACCATCTGTTATTAGTCTTAAATAAGTACCTATTAATAAACCGAGAAGAAAATGTGTCTAATTTTGTGCTTTATAAATTACGCCGTTAGAGCTAATATGTATATTTCATATTCTTAGAGCCATAATATTATAGGAATACAATATGTAACGATCTGCTATGTGTCGTGTAATATAAGGCAGATTGGTTATTGCTAAATTTTGTGGCTTACATGCAGACGTTTGGGCACACTTGAGCTAGATAAATCATTTTTTAGCACTAATCCAAAAACAAAAAAAAATGATGAACTTATCGATATTGTACCTACGTACCTATGTAATGTACTAATGATGGTTATAATAATAATTTTTTTTTTTTATGTAAAACAATGACATGTACATTAATTATGAAACATGTTGGGAAAGGGGGCTCTGCCGGCACATGACTGCATGGCTATTGATACTTAGGTGAGAGTGATGAAAACGTAGGTGAACGGTTGAAATCTAAATAATCATGTCAGCTGTTGATATTATAAATAATTATAAGATACATATAGCCATATTGAATTATAATATAAGTCAAGAAATGTATCAAAGTATAGATTCTCTGAGCTTGTTGTTGATTTGCTTGTATAGTTGATATATGATTGATACGACATAAATATAATTAAAGTGTTAAATAAATATCGATAGCCCCAGGTCCGTTACATTAGCACCACCATATTCGAAAATCCAAAAAAAAAGTTATACCAACGACTGTTATTCCGTTTGTACCCATTAAATGTAATTAATTTTAATGAAAAAATAATTTTCTTAAATGGGTACTCTTAAACTTAGATCAAGGTGGGAAGAAAACCAAAGGCAGCAGAGTCAATAATTAAAAAAGAGATTTTTAATATACAAGAATGAGATCATTCACAAAAATAGTCAAAGTAAGTACACTCTTTTACAATAAATTGGTTATAAAAGATCAACTTTTCATACTCAATATTTAAGCCAATTATACATAAAACACCAACGTTGTAAAATTTCTTGAAGTAACAATAAATAATTGTACTCTTTGTTAAAAAGTTAAAAAATAAGTTATTTCTTAGTTACTTTGTTTGATAAATTAACTAATTAAAAACAGTAGAACAATCGAAAATGACTAGGTTATAAATTTTTTGAGATTCCACAGAGCGGAGCGATGAATGCATTTATTTTAAAATTATTTGTTTTTTCGTGTCTGTTAATTGTTATCACCTTTTGGGAGCAATAAATATACTTCGATTAATAAGAACTTCAGCATTTTTTCTGGCAAGAAGTGAATCTAGTTGTTACTTGGGTGGGGGTTAAAGAAAAATATTCCCAGGAGTTTTCAAAAGCGTCGAAAATAATAATAAAAAAAAGATAGATGATAAATCAGTTTTTGACCAAAATAAATTTAGTTTTTTTGGTCTTTCTGAAAAAAATAAACTTAATTAATACAAAACATTTTTCCTAAAATAGTATTTAGATAAAATGTCTCAAAATATTTTGATACAATTTTCACTGAATGTTTGTGTTAGCATTTCCTATACACTATAATATTTTCAAAATATTTTGACTTGTGCTTAGAACTATTTAGAAGCATATGACATTTTCCATTATTATTTGTTCTTTTCAAACTATGTTGATAAAAAATTTTTTGCTCGGTTAAAAAATCTTGTAAATTGAATACAAAATTCCTCGTAAGGTGTTGTTATTGCAAATTAAAAAAAAAGTTGAGTGTAAATCCACAATAATTTTTTATGAGCGATTAAAATTAAAATGTTCACAAAAATAATTTTTGCATTATCAAAAATATCTTAATGATATCATTCAAATATAAATAAATTATTATGATAATCTAATGATCAGAATTGATTTTTCTTTGGAATACGTTTTAAATTTTACTATTTACGGATATTTTATGTCTCATATTATAACGTGGTTATATTAGTTTATTTTGGTAATTTTTTGTTCTCGAAAAGTGTAATCATTTAAATGACGACGATATTATTATGTTGTCTACGCTACCGGCAAACGCTCAACTGGCCATTTACTATTATTATCAATGTTAATACCTAATTGTTATAACAAATAATATTTGACAAAAAATTGACTAATTATTAATAATTAGTAGATTACCATAATTTACCTTACCTATTGTATGTTATATAAGTACTCGTATTTAATATGTATTATTTTCATATATTTTAACATGTTTATTCATAGTCTCTTATTGTCTCTATAATATCTATAATAATGATAATATAGGCATTTAAAACGTTCGGATATATTAATTTTTTTTCTTTATATGTGAATAAAATATTTTATGATCGGTTAAAAAGTTTAAAATTGTTACGCGAAATTTCTCATAAGTTATATAAATTGTAATAACTATAGAAATTTAAAAATTCTAAAAATGTATTATATAGATTCAATTTTTTTACTGTTCTGAAGTTTAAATATTGACAAAACGTGTGAATTTACGAAAATTTGAAAATTATTTAGTAGTGGATTCATATATTGAACATTTTGATACAAGGTCTTTGATAAATTAGTCACGGAGCATTCAAAAAACGATAGATTATTAATGTTTTATTTATTAGAATCAGTAATCATTTGAAAATCTAGTTTTAGCGATAATGTATATTTAAATGAAAAATAACGATTTTAGTTATTGTTTCAATATAAAAAGTGGGCTATGATTTTCTAATAATTAATAAATTTAATGTATTTGATTTTTTATTGCATAAAATAAGTTGAACATAGAACATACTGTATAGAAAAATAAAGTACCTTAAAATTTAATTTTAAAATATGTCCTTAGATATAAAGGCTGACTTTTGTCTCCCCTCAAAATTGTTGTTTGTATGTAAATCATTTACCATTGCATTCGAATCTTAACACATCCATTATGATGACTCCATAATAAGCAGATCATTAGAAAGTAGTAAGATACTACTTATATACAACCGATCAAATTTCCCGCTTAAAAAAAAAAATCTATAAAATGTTTTATTATATTTTTTTTTACGTAATGTTTTAAAACAATATTTTCTGGCCTTAAAGGTTTTTTGTCGGTTCCACAAAATAATACATTTTGTTTATCTAAGAAACGTAATACTATATGTTTATTCATATTTTCGTCTTTGACACAATATTTATGCGGTTTAAGTGCCTTTAATAATTTCAATTAATTGTGATCAGTTAAAGTGTATACTTAAGAAGCTTTAAAATATCGTCAAAGTTATCAACCATATTCTTGTAATAAGTATTATTTACTTATTTTGTATTCAAATTGTAAGTAAATGTTTTATACTTTTTTCTAAGACCATATTTTACAATAAATCAACTCACCTAGATAAATGTCATAGTACGGAAACCAGCTACTCATAGAAAATTAAATTATCGTCACCTGCTTAATAATTTGAACTATATTTTAATTTTGTATTGACTAAATTTCATATTATTTAGTCATATAATCGTATTGTTAGCTAAAACGAAAGCACAAATGCAATTGTATTAGACATTTTTTAAAAACATAATCATCTAATTCAATGTTTCCTTTTTAAGGTTCCATCGCCTGGATCAATCAAGATGACTCCCACCGAGATGGCTTTCTGGAGAGCAGTTCTATCATTTGTGACATATATGACACCAATTAATAAGTGTTTGAACAGAAAACCAGTGCGTTTATCTTTAGCGTTTCCTAAACCAACCACAAGGTAAGAAAAAAAAATTGTTACGCATTAAAAATTATCATAAAACAAACATATATTTTTAATAATAAAAATTACTCTTAAAACTAAAGAAGATAATATATTTTATTCTAAAATAATAAATTAACCATAAGATGTTTGGTACTTAGGTCTGCGAGTAAATTTTTAAAGTTGGATAACTCCAATCGAATTAAAATTGTTTTTTTCTCATTTTGTTGTTTTTTGTTTTGAATTTATCATACCGAAATTATTGCATCTTATAGTATAATACATTACGTGAGTTGATGCTAAATATAACCCCAGAGAAAATTTTAAACGATGCAATAGACAATGAAAACTAGTATTATTTCACCCATATAATATCTCTAGTGATGCTAGACATTAAAAATGGGTCCTTGACATCTGTCCAGAAATTATAATTGGATCGGTAGCTCAAAGATTATTTCAATAAGTACCCGGAACAAAGTTCCAAGTATAATGACTGCGGTAGTGAGTAATGGCAAAGAAATCAGTTTTTCATTTGTCAGTAGATCGGGATTCAGGAGATCTTATTAGTCCTATAAAAATAAACATTTAACTTTGGAATAATTTGCATAGAAAATTGATACAGACCAGATGAGGTACTTAATAAGTTATACATAAGTTATAAACTTCATAACATATTTATTTTGACCGGACTATAAGCCGGCTTCCCGCGACTCATGGCTTGATTCGGCTAGAAGCTCGTGACTGTACAGAGAAACTGTGAAGTGGGAACGCAAGTGACGAGCCTCGTGGTTCGCCTCACGCTGTACCAATTAGGTTTCACTATTACCATTTACCACGTCTATACAACCAAACCTACAAGAGTCACCAGCTTCAAGTCACACGTCATAGGAAGCCGACTATTGCTCCTAGCCCTGCAGATGAAACAAAAGCTATATCTTGATAACTAATAAGGTCCAAGGGTGTAGATAGGTTTAACTCAGAACTGCGTTCGGAAGAGCTAGCTTTTTCGTTTCTCGCGAGGGCCGTGTCCATTATTATACTCGTACATAAAACTTATTTTGCCACGAAATAGTAGATAGTCATAGAATTATCTGAAACTCCGGACCAACCAGTGATTTGTCTGTTTTCAGTGGTGCGTCGGAGGAAAAGGAACAACAGGGCAAGAAGTTCAGACAATACGCAGCCGCGTTGTCCGGTGAGTACCACACATACTTAATATAATGATTTTATTCAATAATATTACAATTACTATCATCGTTGCATAAAAATAAAAAAATAATTAAAATATTTATTGAATTATTAATAGTCATAAAATCATTTTGAAATCTAATTCATCCCAATCGCCCAATATATAACACAATTATTATTGTCATGTCCTTCAACTACGTGTTTACAAAGCCATAATTATGACCGACTATTTTTCATCATCTCCTCTACCTTCTCATTGCAGCCACGATCGGTCCGTTTGCTGTGGGCACTGTGCTGGCGTGGATGTCACCGGCGTTGCCCATGCTGTTGTCAGCGGACTCAAAGATCAAAATGACGGCTGATCAGGGGTCGTGGGTGGGTTCCTTGATCGCCATCGGTGCAATCTTCGGGTCAATACCAGCGGGCAGGACCGCTGACTTAATAGGCCGAAAACCAGTCATCGCCTTCCTGTCCCTGCCTTTCATCATCAGCTGGTCAATGATTTACTTCGCGACAGAGGTCTGGCATCTATACGTGGCGCGTCTGATTGCCGGCACCTGCCTCGGAGGCATCACTGCAACCGTCCCTATGTACATCGGTGAGATAGCCGAGAAGTCCATCAGAGGTAACGATCCTATGCACAATTTGTTGTTATTATTTTGAGTGGTTATGTGATCGACGAGCGTTTGAAATGTGTGCATTTTTCATTAACCTAATTCTTAAAATTAGTCGTAATTCATTGTCGTTGGTATTTTTAATAAATATATACTGTATACCCGTGAGCAAAAATAAATACATATAATTATTATAATGTTTTGTCCCTCATTCTCTACTTACTGTCTTCTGACACTGAGTTTATGAATTAAGACTCGACCATTTTCGTAAGGCGTACAATTTTCTCACAAATAAATCATAATTTCTACTTATCTCCCATTTATTATAATCACTTTTCGTTGTATTATGAGTATTCGTGGTAAAATATTATGTGTTATAATTAATATTTTTTAAACTATTCTAAAATGTTCACAGAATGTCAAACTATTATTACCTTTAAGGGTACGTGTTACCTCAATAATTTTCTTTTTTATCGATCACGGCTTTCCGGGAAAAATCAAACATATATAGGTAGTTGTTGAACAGTTATTGTTCTTTCGACAATATTTTTAGTCAACTGTATTATAATATACTAAACATTAATAATACCTGTTTTCCCCATATTAATCATAATATTATAATATCATATCAAATTGCAGGATATAATCATATACTAATTGACATGTTAATATATTTGTATATAAGACAAACGCTCTTATGTCATTACGAAACTTTTATACGTCTAAACGTCTTACATTTTCTGCAGGTGAGCTGACCTCTTTCGTTCAGGTAAACGTGACGCTGGGCATATTGTACGTTTACTTGATCGGTCCGTTCGTGAATTACGCGGGACTGGCTATCATGTGCGGAATATTACCAGCTATCTGGTTCGTCCTGGTACTGTTGGTGGTGCCAGAATCTCCAACGTATCTTTGGCGATCCGGTAAGAGGAAGGAAGCAGAAGATGTGTTGATTATCTTGCGTGGCAAAGACTACGACACTTCCGACGAGCTGGCGGCGCTGCAGAAGGACCTCGAGGAGAAGAAGCCCAACAGCAAGTTTTCGGAAATGATAAAATCCAAGCCCACGTTACGCGCGGCATTCACAGTTTTGGGACTGCTTGGGTTTCTGTCATGTTCCGGTATCAACGTGGTAATATTCTACGCCGAGTCCATATTCGAGGGCAGCAACAGCATGATTTCCCCGAAAGCCTGCTCCATTGTCATCGGGGTCCTTCAAGTGAGTACTCAAATGGCAACTGTGTTTATTGCAATCAATTGTATGAAGAGACTTGTTTTATCAAATATTTATTTTAATTTTAAAATTTAGGATTATATGCTTTGTAGAAATTAGCATTGACTCGTTATCGCCATCGATCTTACTCATAGTGTACAAGTATAGTCTACAGTTGCTAATTCGATTTTTATATTCTAAAATCCTAAGTAAATGTTACTGTTTAAATTGTTCTATTTTGAATTAATTTTTTCAAATACCTAATGACGACCGAAACGTACATTTAATTCAATAAAAATTATCTTGATCTATTCAAACACGGGGAGGACTACAGTTTTCTTACCGTTTTGGCGTTTTCGACAGTATTTTATGCAAAGCAATGATATGAGAATTTTGATTGTAACCACATATTAGGTACATGTATTATTATTATTATGTCCGAAGAACGACAAAAAACTGTCATACATTTGTAGGACATAATTTTACTTACTATTTATTATGTTGAAATATTATAACACCATGTGTGAATGATATAAATCGATCAATATTCTATAATATTCTATAATATCTTTCCACATCCTTCTCCGACTTCACATAATATTAGAAATCATATAACGACAATATTGTCCCACACAGGTCATATTCACTTTCGCGTCCTCGCAGCTGGTGGACAGGGCTGGCCGGCGGGTGTTGTTGCTGATCTCCGATTCGGTGATGGCCATGTGCCTCGGTTCCCTGGCCTTCTACTTCTATCAACAGGAGCGCGGCGTCGACGTGTCTGCGTTCGGTCTGGTGCCGCTCATCAGCTTGGGAATTTATATCAGCACCTTCGCGCTCGGTTTCGGCCCAATACCGGGGGTCATGATTGGGGAGCTGTTCAGCCCGGAATTCAAGGGACTGGCGATCGGCATTGTGTGCGTGCTCGCGTCGTTGATTGAGTTCTCTGTCGTCAAGTCTTATCAGACCCTGTTGAATCACTACAACCGCGGTGTCACGTTCGGATTATTCGCTTGCTGTTGCGTGGTGGGCACCTGTTTCGTGTTCTTCCTGGTGCCGGAGACAAAGAACAAGTCTCTACAGGAAATCCAGGAGGAGCTCGCTGGTAAAAAGAGGTCGGCCAACCAGACGCATTTTGTCAGCGTTTAGATTGCCTGAACTAATATTTTATATTAATTCGGTATTGTTATATAATGTACCACCGCTAAACACGTTGTGATCCACGACTTATATAAATAATAAAAAATGTAGTTACAAATTACGGTTGTTTTATAGTTTTTCCTAACTGTTCAGTGCTACATTATAATATTTACTGTTCCCTTTGTTTCATAGTACAATAATACTGATCTGGACATTGAGACATTTTTAAAAGTAACAACTGAATTTATTATGCATTCCCGGAATTGGTTGAATAAAAAATGGCGCTCCAGTGATAATAATTAGTGGTGATTTTTTGGTACATATTATCAAATAGTCCACAGCTCAATCATGCTGTGTATGCGATTTTATAATATTGCCGAATTTCTATTAGCATAAACGTATCGCAAAAATTACCACGGGATCCTAGCCGCCGCCATCACTGCAATAATGATAATAAATATTAAATCCTATAAAAAAATGTATTTTTTGATATAACTTATAACCTAAAAAAAATTGGTAATAGTAATTTATGTAACTATCAGATTAGGTGCATAATATTTTTCGTAATTTATTTAAAATATTTAAATGAGAAAAATTTAAAATGTACAGAAATGTTAAAAATTAAATTGCTCATAAGTTGCTTCAAAATTAAAATATAAAATAATCCCATGGATAAAATAATTAATTTTATTTCGTCAACCTCTAATGCTCTTTCTGACCTATCACTTCGGAGAGTATATAAGAACTATCACGAAGAAGTGTTGAAAGTCGTTATCAACAAGGGGATGTATAGATTTCTAGACAACATTAAGGGTGAGAATATGAAATAGTTATAAAATTGCGATTTACACGATTAAATAATTTGAAACCCACTAATTGGCGCAATAGCGCTATGTAAGAATATAAAATATTATTACTGTTCATTACAGTGCAACTGTACTGCAAACATGAAAACAAATCTATTAATTGAGCTATTCAACTATTTACTTAAAGTCGAAACCAACCACGAAACTCTTTTGTATAAATTCTTATATATTTTTTCCCTGTTGTCATAAAAATATTAATCGAATCAAAGCTACTCTACCACACATTGCCTGTCTGAGTTTTCGTGAAATCGGATGTACCCATTTCGTTATGCACATATATGTGTTTATAGCGACCACTTTTGATCTGCCACCTTGAACATAATATTATGTATGTTGTCTGTGTTATAGTCGAAAAATGTAGTTACGTCGACATGTGTTTAAAACGTAGTTGCTGTGTAAACATTTTGGACATCCATATTATTGTGTTATAACAATAAAAAACGTACACAAATACAAAAATAATTGTAATTTGTAAGTTATAGTGTAGTTGCATCATTTATATTTCTAGTTAAGTATTAGAACGACAGCCAAATAAAAATGTATGAGATAAAAATATGTTTAATATCAAAGATTATCTTTTCTAAAGACAGTCTTAAGATATAGTGAGTTTTAATATATTTCTTAGTTGATATTTTTTTGAAAGACAACTGACTCGATTCGTCAATTTTTTGGGAATTATATATATGAGTAATCTGTATGGTCTATTAACTAACCATTTTAGACAATTATGTAAAATAGTATAATACAAATTACAATTAGGTAAGTAGTAGGTACCTATTTTGAAATTATTCATACCAGTTGTAGATATGTACACTAAACAGTAAACAGTCGTACAAAACCATTTCCTATCATAAAAAAATATAGATTTTTACTATTGTTATTTATTTGTTTTTGATACCATCATTCCTTACCTTTTTTTAAACATTTTTCCGATTAAAAATTCGTTTTTTTAATCTTTCTTTGAATAAATTTCCTATGACAATACATTTTTATAAAAAATAGTGGTTCGGCAGTGATGTGTTATTACTTATTACAGTGACGCACTGATGTTATAATAAATTATGATTGTTAGTCGGATGAGGAATGAAATATATTTTGGGCGAGCAAGACAATGAAAATAGATTTTTTTATATCAAAAAATATTTTAATGATATTATTATTAAAATATAACTATATTGTAATAATCTACATGTTTGTCTTGTCTGGAATACGCTAATATTAATTATAATAATTGTATGTAAATAATTTGTTGTCTACTTAAAACTAATATGCTACGCGTTTCGTTAATATAATAATATATACCTATAACTCGTAGTTATGTATACCTAACTAATAACTAAATATTTACAAATGATAAATACCTTAAAGACTATAGACATGTTACAATACATTATACATATTATTAAATACGTGTACAACATAATATTATAATACGGTAAATTATGATAATCGACCAATTGTCATATTCATATATCATTATAATAATTACTAATAATAATAAATGGCCAGTTGCACGTCGGCCGCGCGCTATCGTTGAACGCTATCGGCATAGGTGCGCGCGACTTGAGCAACGCGTTGACAACACAATATTATAATAATAATATTTTACATCGCCGTCGTTTGAATGTCAAATCTTTTCGAAAAAAAAAATGATCAACATAAAACTAATATGACCGCGATATGCAACGTGAAATATGATGCGTAAATATAATGTAATTTGAAACGTACACTATAATATAACAATTGTAATAACATTATCATACATTATTTAAAAGTCGATAATTTGAACGTAGCACATGTCACTAAAATGGTAGGTACCTACTGTAGTAATAATAAAATATAATAATTCACAGTAATCTTAGGAAGACCGCGTGAATGAACGGCGGAGTCGTTTCGGGATCGTACGGTTAAATTAATGTTATGTAATATGATAAAAATGATGCTAGTCTAAACGAAATTAGTAATAATAATATTCATATAATGAAAGAGTGAATTTTTATTATTAAATGTGTATGATATAAGGAATAATTGTATAATATAAAAATTGTAACGAATATATTTATAATATGTGCTTGGAATTGACATTGTAATATTATGACGTCCCTATAATTACCTAATATAAAATAAAACAATTATATATGTATAAAAATAAATATTTAATATTTCAATATTTGTGTTTGAGCAAACTCTATATAACTGCGTTTAGACTTTTTTTTAGACACTAAAACTACCTGCAATTAGCCAGTTTTAATATATATATATATATACACATATATATTATGTATTAATCACAAATCCACTTATCGTTTAGTATAAATATTTTATTAAAATAACGAAGCACAATATGTTCGAAGGTATTTTGTACTCTGAAACGAGAGAGGACGGTATATATTGTGCGGGGTAGTTCGAAAAATAGGGCGTATATCAAAACGTAATATATTGAACTCATCTATTTTATTGTCTGCGTTAAAAAAAAATTGATTTTAAATCGTTCGACTGATGAAAGGAGAAAAAAATCCTAGAAATCCCCGGGGGCATATACTTTCAATTTCAATCGTTGATATTGTAACGTCGCGTGAGATTCTATGCTACAACCACTGACCGGACACAAAAACTTGAGCGAAATCTTTTTATTACAATATATATAAACGGAACTGGAGACGTATTGTGTTGCTTGGAGTGACCTACCAAATGCATACGACGACGGTCTATTTTAACTAAACTACGTGGCTTAAGGCCAAGCACCGCCAATTATAAACAAATCGTGTTCGGTTCAGGAGAAAACAATTTATTGGAATAAAAAAAAACAACGTTTGAAAATAAATAAAATATTTGATTTACGCCATAAAAGTGTCGAAAAATAAAACTCCCAAATCCCCGTTCGAGTGAGTATGTAGTATAAATATATATATATATATATATATATATATATATTTATTTAATGCAGTACCTGCGTCCTTTTGGGAGGTCGACAATAAAATGGAATGCAATATATTATTATAATGTTATGTCAACAAACGGTGTAAATGTTACGATAAATAAAAAAAAAATCAAATACATAACTAGGTACCTATGTATATATGTAAATATCCGAAAACATATATAACAGTGTATATAACATCTTCAATATGTGAAGAATATATCGGTAAAACGAGTCACTTGATTTGAAAACAAAAAAAAAAATAATTAATAAGACAAAAATGCATTTTTAAAACAAGAAAACGGTTTTTTCAGTGTATTTGATAATAAAACAGTTTTTTTGATAAAAATAAAAAAAATGCGTGGGGTTAAAAAATTGTAAAAAATATCGTTTTCCTCAAAACCCCGCCCGCCCAGTTCATCAAACTCGATCGCAACCAGCGCACGCACACACACACCCACACGTCCTACACAATTTAATAGTACATAACATCATAATATGTATAGAGCTATTATTTATATCACCCATATGTCGTATAATGAAATTATACTGCGTGTATGTGTGTGCGCATGCGCAATGGTGTTGTGCATTTTATATTTTTGATTTGTGTTCAGACGATCGCGGCGTGCGTCTGGTCGCCGGTCAGCGAATCCATCATGTGTTGCTTCCGGTTGCCCTTCAGGTTGTCCTTCCGGTTGTTCGGCTTCTTCTTGCCGCTGAGCTCGGTCTGGATCTCCTGCAGCGTCTTGTTCTTGGTCTCCGGCACCAGGAACCACACGAATACGGTTCCCAGCACGCAGAACCCGGCGAATATCCAGAACGTGATGCCGTGGTCGAACCAGTCCAGCAGGTTCTGGTACATCTTGACGACGACGAACTCGAGCAGGGACGCGATTACGCACACGATGCCCAGTGCCAGGCCCTTGACGTCCGGGCTGAACAGCTCGCCCATCATGACCCCGGGGATGGGCCCGAAGCCCAGCGAGAACGTACTGATGTACACTCCCAGGCTGATCAACGGTATCAGACTGAATGCCGACACGTCAACCTCGTGCTCCTGAAGCCAGAAGAAGTAGCCCAGGCAACCCAGGCACACGGCCATCACCGAGTCGGAGATCAGCAACAGCACTCGCCGGCCGGCCTTGTCCACCAGCAGCGCAGACGCGAACGTGAACTTGACCTGCGGACATAACACAAACACGGTAGGGGTTAATATCGCAGTTGTATAATATTATTACTGCTGTTACAGTGGGAGGTATACCATGGTATACGTATGATAGCATATTATACCGCCGATCCATAATACACACTGCAGCAATGTTACGACTTACATTATAAATGCATATAATATAAGCCATTGGTACAACGTACATAATACATATCAGTCAAGAAATCGACAGTGTCCAATATATTATTATTATTATTATAGTATCTAAGACAGTATAATATCGGGTTACACACGTGACGACTTGTTATACGATTCACGAAGTGCTTAAGCTTTAAAACGTTGGTAAAGGTACAGCGATATCTAATACTTACAGTTATTTTTATCACGGTATATTAAACATTGATGGTCAAACGCCCGACAAGTTTTGATAAAAATAATGAATTAATATTAAAGTTTAACATTGAACACAGCTCAATACTCTATACATTTATCAATTACTAAATAATATTATTCATTCATAAATGGTATCTTCAATAACAAACATCTATTCTCTACAACTGGTTGCGGGATACAACGATGTCAAATTTTGTTTTGATTTTTGATTTTAATGTCCCGAAACAACACATTTTTTGATGAACTACATTGAATAATGCATTGAAACTTAATTGACTAATAGAATTTTAGGGATTAAGATAAGGGGAGTGAAATATTGAAATGGCTACAGTTGACACTTCGATCGTCGTATAACTTGAAGTGCTTGTATAAACATTCATAGGATAACACTAAAAATTATATTACCATTTTAAATGTATTGTTTATTTTTTACTCGGTTTTTTTACTTTTTAAAATATTTTAATTTTTAATTTTTCTTGATGTTTTTTATGTCAACACCACCAAATAAGCGAAATTAGTTGCGTAACTGTTATTTTACGTCATAGACATAAATGTTTGAATTAAGTTTGTGACTGTTGATTTAGCATATTTTTTCGGGGGTTGGAATTCCTTAGTTTTGCATAATAGCTACGAAATTATTTAAGACGCATTATGGTTAATCAAACAATCATTTTATTCTGTGTGACTGTGTATGTATACTTGCATATTACAGACGTTATTTTTTTTCTCATATTTGATATTTGATATTTGCATTTTCAGTAGATTTAGGCGATAAAATTAGAGTTCATATAGAATTTAATGCGAGAATCATACTAGAATTGAAATAATGAATTATAATATACGTTTAGTTTAACGTTCTCGACATAATAATTAAGTATTAAACAAAATAAAATTTGAACCAATTTTTGACAACTGGCGGATCGGTATCGTCTGGAGAATAATATAATAATATGGGTAAGTATACTAGCTATAGTTGCGGTTTCAATTAAAAATCTAGTACCTAATTGTTATTATATAGATTTGCCGTCGAAAGAATACCGGCTACGTGATCGCACATTCCGTTATTCCTACATAGGTATCTTATATGAATATTTATTATTCAGTTGATTTGTTTAGATTTTGGACGAGTTAAAAATAAAAGTTATACTCCGCCTTCGCTTCTCGATTACCGCATACACAACAATTTTGAGTACTCACTTGGAGGACGCCGATGATGATGGAGCTGACTTGCGGAGATATGCTGCTGCTGCTGCTCTTGAATATGGACTCGGCGTAGAATATGAGCACGTTGATGCCCGAAAACGACAGGAAACTGAGCAGTCCCATGACGGCGATTGACGCGCGGACTGTGGCCCTGGAGGATATTAGATCCTTGAACTTACTGCTTCGCTTCTGCTCCTCCTCGAGCTGCTGCTGCAGCTCCTCTAGCTCGCCGGCGATGTCGTACTCGTGCCCTCGCAACAGCACCAGCGAATGTTCCGCCTCCTTCCTCCTGCCGGATCGCAACAGGTACGTGGGCGTCTCGGGTGCCACCAATAGGACCAGGACGAACATGATCACCGGTATGATTCCGCACAGGACGGCCAACCCCTCGTAAGACACGAACGGCCCGATGGCGTATACATACAATATGCCCAGCGTCACCTTCACCTGGATGTAAGAACCGAGTTCACCTGCGAAAAACGTTTGGTATATTACAACATATTCAGCACATATCATAGGTGTAGGTCATACAAAATAATAAAATACAATAATATAGAGCGGGAGCGGGCAACTGGCGGACCGCTAGATTTATATTTTCTAAAAATTGTCCCTCTACTAACTTTGAGTTGCCTATCCTTGATATGTAGAGTATAGATAATTTATTATGAATTATGATATACGAAAGTACTATTTACCATCAAAAAATTAGTAAGCCCAAAATATACTGTTTACGAAAATTATCGCACTACAAAACTTGGATACAAACTTATATACTCTTAAACAAGTTTGATTTTTACCGGAACACCGTACTCGATAAATTATTTAACCAATGATAAAATAATTGGTGGTATATGGTAATATTCTACAATAGATCAAATTACACGGTTAGAAACTTAGAACTATGGCTCTCGATTTTTACTTTTGCTTATTATTGCTCACTATGTGGAAATGATTGATTTCGTCAAACGTTGCATAGCTATATTTTATTTTTAAGTAAAATCGACAAAAATTATTGTTAATAATATGGATATGGGATCAAGTGCTGAGCTACGATATTCCGTCATCTTAAGTTTGAAATATTTGTTGGAAGCTTCCTCAACATTTTGTAACAAAAATGTAACCACGATATGTTTTTCCTAACTTACAAGGAAGTTCAGAAACGACATCGTATGATTTTATATTATTAAATAATTATGGTAACTAATAGGTTAAGATAAGGACAAATTGTACGTTGTATGATGGATTTTTGAAAAAGAGCAATCGACATGCGAATACATGCAATCGACATGATTATTATACAAGCGACAATCACTTAATGTAAGTGGTAAACTATTGAGCCATTGGGTGTTTTAATAACTATAATAAATTAAATATTATGCCAATTATTTTAAAGAGCTTATTCAACTATTACTTGTAATTGTTATTGAAGCAGTGAGTTGTGGAAATATGAACAATTATAATGTTTATACCTTTATTAAATACCAAATCATATGATGCAAAAGAATCGTTAAGCATGACATACTTTGCATGTTTGCACTGCGTGCAGAAGTTATAATAGTAGTAGCAAGCACACTCAAGATCATTTACTTTGTATTCAATACTACACACTCATTTAGCACACTGCTAATAGTAAGTTGTCAACTAATAAAGTCGATATTAATTATTGCAGCAAAGAAACTAAAAGAGTAGAATTTGGTAATATCAATTGTTAAGTTTAAATACACAATATTCAAAAGAATTGTTAATTAGTACACAATATGTTTGTAAATTAATAAAAAATTGAAAAATAATTTCGAAGTACCTGCCGATATTAACAATTGATAATCTGAATATCTTTATAAGTTATAAAAAAATTACTGGAGTTACATTTCGTTAAAAAGAACAGTAACAAAACTGAAAAATTTTCGTACAAGAATCCCAAACGAGGAGACGTAGACCTTATGTTTGTTTAATACATATTATTCGTACGCATATTCACAAATTTCACATCCCCCCTCCCTTTGTGTAAGTAATGCATAATAATTCAAATCTTTATTACATTTCAAATCTTGGAATTTCTAAGTATACTTATAATGACCATGTTTACGGATCCGTAGAATGTATTATACCATAGTTATGAGTTTAGGGGGGGGGGGCTATGATATGATTTGAAAAGTTTAGTAATTAATTCAAATTTGATAAAAATTGTAATAGTAGAACAAGTACTAGAGACTTCATATTAAATTTAACTCTTAGACATATTTTAAGTAAAATAATTCTAAATGATCATTATCATTAAAACGCAATGTCAAATAACTCAGAAACTAAGTACTCCAGTCGTTCAAATTGTTATTTAGATGTATGATATTTTTCAAAAAAACCTATACTTAAAAATGTACTGTAAAAAAGGTTACTCATTTGAAAAAAAAAATTTATTTATAGTCCTTAGGACATTTGTTTAATGGAATAAAAGTTTAATCTGAAAACAGTTTTTGAGAAGTATATATATATACCTATTTAAAAAGTTAAAAAGTAAAAATATTCGAATTTCGATTAATATAAAGGTATTATTATAAAAGATAAAAGAGAGGTGAGCATACTTGATGAATTAACCTGTCTAGGCCTTAGACTCTAGGGTACCGTTAAGTCCACGGCGATTAACGAGAATTATTAGAAAATATCAATTACAAATAGTATTGCATTGGTAAGCAAATTTATACCACGTATACAAACAATAACGCGATGTGTGCGGCATTATTATATTTTATAATAAACGTGAGATAATTAATACAATTCGTGGGAAAATCGTATACTGCTGAAAAACAGCGGAGTTTCAATTATTTATAAGCTAGGAGACAGATGACACGGAGTAATTATTAATGATCGCGAGTGAGGTAAGACACAATATTGTTATGTACTTGTATAATTTTATGCACGGTATAAATTTATCGAGAATACTGGCGCCAACGAATCATTATGATATTTTGTACTAGTTCGTGGAATTTTTCTCGATATAGCAATATGTCAGTGTCAAATTGTCTAAAACAATGAAAAACAGCAGATATCTCGTCACGGTTGCAGCTACGGAGGACTGTTATCCTAGGAAAAATTCGAAGGATTTTTTCTATAAGCTATGTAATACTATTTTACTCCATTCGTTGGCAATTGTTGTAGAGAATATGTACTTTATTATTCCCTCCTAGATCGCACACAAGACGGTATAATATCAACTTTCGGTGTTTACACGACAGGCGTCGACAGCGTATAATTTAAAGAGATATTAAATACGTTGATAAGCACGCTATTCGAATCTACTGTATCGGGCTAACGGGATATACAATATTAATTATAATTATTGTTTAAATAGTTTGTACACTAGTCGGAGGGGGGAGGCGCGGCAATTATAAACGGCTCTGAGAAGCGCCTGTCCAATACAAAGTTAAAAAAACACACACACAATAATTATAATTATAAAAACCGTTACAATATAGTCGGCCAATTACCTAGGGATACATGATACTACTATATACGTTTAGCGTTGTACTATACGTATATTATAGGTGTAACAGCAGAGTTGTTTGACACATACATACACACAAACGACCTCGACGGCATCGTCAAATCATTATAATGCAGTGTTTGTATAATAATAATAATAATAATAATAATAATAAACGATATTATGTTGGTAGGAGGTCGGGTTTGACCCATCTGATATTATATTTATACAAATTTTATATCAAGCGTGACACTTACCTCTGATAGAGCTCTCGGCTATCTCGCCGATGTACATCGGAACGGTGGCGGTGACTCCGCCGATGACGGCGCCGGCGATCAGACGGGCCACGTACAGTTCCCACACGGTGGTCGCGAAGTATATCATTGCCCAGCTGATGATGAACGGCACCGCCAGGGCGGCGATGGTGGGCTTCCGGCCGAATATGTCCGCACCCTTGCCGGCCGGGATGGACCCGATGATGGCACCGATGGCGATCAGAGAACCCACCCACGACCCCTCGTCGGCTGTGATCGGAATCCTCGAGTTCTCGGACTGCAACATGGGCAGCACCGGCGACGTCCACGCCAGCACCGTACCCACGGCGAACGGTCCGATCGTGGCTGTAACGAGAAGAAAAGAGGAGATGATGATAACAAGTCTATATATAACGATATGATATTTTTTACACTGCACAGCTTTAGATGCTAACTTATAAGCCTTTGTGATAGTATAAAGGAGAATATTGGAGGCTGGAGTGGTGATGGACCGTTTACGGATTTTTATATGCTGCAGGTACAACAACCTGCTGATCGATGTTTTCCGCAGACCGTCGTCTCACCCGAGTAGGTGAGTATATATATATATAATATATATATTATATATGTATGTACAGTATATTGTGCACAATCTACATCAATCTATATAATACTATAATTAAGACGTGTTCGCTTGGTGCGAAAAAAAATTCTCGATCGCGTCAAGTCGTCGAGAGGAGCGGAGAGACCTGACAGGTGTATAATAATAACATATAGGGCTCGCGGTGACGTCATCGCTGCAGAAACAATCGTAGTGAGTTCGCTCGTCGAAAATGAAAAAATATTACATGTTAACGTGGTTTAATATCTTTTTAACGGTGTATATATGGCAGGCATTAAACACGAATATGTTATATTATAAACGCTCAGTACGAATAGGTTTTCAGATGTATTTACACGAAACGCAGTTTTGGCGCTATTTTTTATTTCAGTCGCACCTCGGGCACCTAGCTCAGGAGATCAGCGTTCGAGGTCTCTCGCCTCGGGGCTTCGGGGTGTGACGAGCGATCGTAACAATAAACGCTCACTGATCTATAAGTACACGCCGTCGACCGGGTGCCAGGGGGGGGGGGAGAGTTCTGACGTCGGATTTTGATGATGGTCCCGCCCATTGTACGGTACAAAAAAGTACCAATATATAATATAATAATAATATCACGACGATGCGGGTAATAGAATATTATACAGAGAGCAAAGTAGATACCATACTATTATAGGTGTATAATATAATACGTAGTGAGTATAAGTTTATGCATATCCCAATCTACGACACTCGGAGTGGGAAGGGGTGCCCTGGAGGAAATTAATTCCAGTCCGGACGAGCACTGGCACTTGTATACTGCAGCCATAGAGGTGATGGCCAAGTATACCTGTATATGATGTGACATGGGCCTCGAGACAAACCGTGTGTGGTGTGAGTGTGTGCTTATGCGCGGAATGATAATAAAAAATATGTAGCGTAAAAGTATATAGAGGTACACTGTGCACAGGTCGAGAAACAATTGGAGTACAATTCGACGGATAAATCACGTTTAAGATCCGAGTACCACGCCATTGAATAGGTTTTTTTCTGCATATTACACTTTCGAAGTGTTTTAACTGAATTCGTGTCAACCGTGTAATGCGTAAAAAAAGAAATACAATATATTTGCGATAAAGAACATTCAAGCGTACATATAGCTTAATCGATGAATTGCCTTTTCATTTTTTTTTTACCGCAGTCTACATTGTATAATGTCCGTAATAGTAATAATAACCAATGCAATGAGCGAGTGTAGATATTTATTTAGAAGGTATTTGGTAAACTATACGAGTGAAACACCAAATCATTTTGAAACAAAACAGCCGGATATCCGGACCAAAACCGACAAACCCTTTGACTCGTAGAGTAAACATAAAAATATATTATATGTTTGATGATAGCAATAGCCTCGGTAATAACGCCATGTATTATAAATCATTTATAAAATTTACTATTTTACAGTAAACCGCTACTGCATAAAATATAATAATGTTAAGATAAAGTTCAGTCAGCGAAATAAATATTTTAACTATCATCATAATCAGCAGCAAAAGAGTGCCACAACAAAAAAAGCACACGTACTATAGTGCATTGAAGTTATTTTAAATGACTGTTCGATAACAAAACATAACTTTTTAAATTGATAATGTATGTATGCCATTTATTTTTTTATAGTTTCTTAAGTACGTCCTTGTGACTGTTCGATTATGAAATCCGTTATCTTTTTAAAGCCACACAGGCGTGGTACTATAATATTTATCTAGTATTTAACTTCTCAACTTTTATTATTTTATTGTCCATGGCAGAATGTTGACAAAATTTTATTTTTCAATAATCGCTTAATGTACTGTCACGTTAAAAAAACAACAACAAATATTCATTCAATAAACAAAGCATGCTAATATTTTCCAAAAATAACTAATAATCAATACATAAAAAATACCTAAATCTATAACTTTTTTTGTTTAAAAAATTTATAAAAACTATTTCTCGACTTAATATTGATCATATAATAATATTATACTTGCTTCTAGATTATAAGTGTATAATCGAGACTGTAGGTACCTGGAATGTTTTTTTTTTGCTTCGAGCAGATTGATTTAGAAATGTAAGACGGCTTGTTTATTGGACTATAAGTGTTGGATTTGTAAATTATAATTTGTAACTTTGTAAGTAATAAACCAAGTGATCCGTTACTTTGAAAAGTTCACAATAATATTGTGAGTGTGTGTGACAATAAATAATTTGACATGAAAGCACGACATGCGAAGTTGCGTGAATATGAATATAAATACAAAAAAAAGGTTAGGTTAGGTTATAATAGGAATATATACCTATGGCAACTTCTGCAACGGTCAACGATACTTATATAATAAATTCATATATAGAATAAATAATAAAACAAAAATTGAATATAGAAATAAAATGGAACACATTTTTTTTGTTGAACTTTTGATCCCGAAACAACAGCGTATATATACAGTTGTAGAAATATTAATTTCATTCATTTGTTTAATAGTGTGTCTTATACATATTCCTAACGACAAAGATCACGAAAAATTGTTAAAATGGCTTTTTCCTATGCTCGTAAGGAAAACCCCAAAGTCTTCAACCGTATACATCGATTGTCAGAGAGAAAAATAAGTATATATCGTGCATCAGTACAATCGTGAGTGAATTAAAAAATCAAAAATACACATGTGCTGAAACTATACACTACACAACAAATATATATTTTTTTTAAACTCGTAAAACTCGGGGACATGTCCACACAGTAATAAACTTCAAGTCTTGATAAAACGTACATAACAGTCCTCTGCAGGCCGGCGTATACAGCATGCGATATTGTCCATAAACCGTTTTAATGTTTTTGACGATTAATCATCATCGTAAATGTCAAATATGAATTGGGAAAAAAATATTATCGACGTCCGCATAGGTAACACGAGCGAACACGTCATGTTCTGTTTGTCAAAATTAATCCATACATCCACGGCTAGTAATATTACATGTACAGCGAAACGAGTTGAAAAAACAAATTAGACAATATTAAATATATTGTGTACATGGGAGGTTTGCGTGAAAAACGGACGTTTTATTTTCGCCAGATGGACAAGCACGCGATAAAGTGATAATAAATTCGGGAGGGGGAAAGCTAATTTAGTATGATGGTGTCGATCATTTTATTATGAAAAAACAACTAAAACCGGCGACTAATAAACAAAAAACAGTGTACAAAAGGTGTATAATAATATAATAATAGTGCACGAATGTCGACTGTTACTATATAGGTATTATACATACATCATAATATTGTACATAACGAGCGACCGAGTAATTTCCGTCCATCGCCGCCGTCGGGGAGCGAACAATTAGTATAATAATAAGTTTTTTTTTTTTACAATATACATTTTCAATTCTGACAAAAGTCGCGGGATCACGTGCACCGTCTCGTTTCTCTCCGTGTGCTACCGTCAAACTGTTATACTGTTATACACTTTTCAGCCAAAATCGCACACTATTTTAACCTAATCTACAACTGACACAATATTTCCGACAATTTAAAGCGTATAATTATCAGTGTGTACGCAAGTGCGACGGTGTAATGATTACAAATCTCACGTGATATCTAATTAAGGGTGCGGGTGAATCGCTGTCGCAGGGCCTACAGTACCGATATATTAAGTACACATCACAACACAGTAAATTATTATTTTACGCTACCTATATACACATATAAACGACGAACATACACGATTGTAGGTGAGTGGTGGGTGGTAAAAAAGGTTAAAGTTTAGGTCTTGCACATTAATTACAAATACGATAATTTTCAACGGTTCCAGAAACGAATAATAATTACCAGCCGGGCGACTAAGACGGAATATGGAATCACGCACACACACGCACACACACTCACACGTGAAACAAAACCTTGACCTCGGGACGCCAAACAGAGGTAGTGCTCTTCGTCGTCGAATGCTATACTCCATAGGTAGGTATTATTGCAGTATACGTACACCACACATCGTCATATCGCACGGTTCATAATAAATTGAACAATTATTTACTCGTATAATACCTAAATAATAAATATATCATATTATATTTCGAGAGTAGAAGACATCGTCGGTCACCCCCTCCCTCCCACTGCACTCCAGCGCTATGTACATCGAGCACTCCAATATTAGAGGAAAAGGGATTTTATAAAAAAAACATTCAAAACGATTTACTTTTCATCAGTGTTCGCTCAATCAATATATAGCGTGCATCTTGTGCGGTATTTAAATGTTAAATCTATAGTGGACGCTGTTATCTTAGACCCACTCCGCCGAATCGCTTGGCAGGCCATCACCGCACACGCTCTGACGCCCCCTCAAAATGGGGTGTAAACCGACAAACAAAAAAAGCCAAACGTCGGGCTAAAATAATTCAATATGGATTCGGTTTCATCCGAGTTCGTCGAAATCGTTTCTTTTAGGTACGGCGTGTGCTCATTAAAATGCTGTATTCCGATATTGTTTGCGATAGAATAATAAAATAAAATATAATATTGAATTATTCAAAATTGTAATCGTCAATATAGTTTATACCGCAAGCTGTACGTATGCGAGCGAGACAATTGATGTGAACAATGTGAACTAAAATGACACACACATATTTTCAATGTTTCACAGTTTTAAAAATAAAATCCAGGTGCAACAACTATTTTTTTTCTACGATCTATGTATTTGTGTAACAACTAGCAGTGTAATGTCAACGTTTTCTAATAATATGGTACTCATAT